ACAGCTAGTGCCCACTCTGAGGCCAAGGATCTCATGTGAGAAACAGCAGATTTGTGGGTGGGTGAACCCAACGCCCCAACTGTCACGGGGGCTGAGTTCACTTTAGTGTTGAGAAAGGTCTCCCACAGGCTAGCTAAGTGCTCCCTGCTCAGCCACAGCCCAGGCCCTCACTGGGGGGCTCTAAAGCCAAGCCTTTGGCCTAGACTAAAATGACGGCAGTGTGCAGTCTCATGGAGAGGACTTACTTGTCGTCTCTCTTCAGAAAGACTCCGACATAGGGCTGTGCCAGGCGGACTTTCCTCCTCAGCAGCTCAACCAACTTCTTATTTTTAACCTGCAGGAGAATGACAAATGAGGCGGAGGAGGCTACAGCCAGTGCTGCTGGCAAAATGTTTACTGCAGAAGCCACAGGTTCATTAGTGTCACAGACCCGGAGTGACACCGAGGCAGGCCTGGAGTTTAAGGTGGCCCCTTCCAGCCTTGAGCACCACTTCCTAGTTATCCCGATCAGCTGCTTAGTGACTGGCTCCTCCCACCCCCTTAGCAGGTGTCAGTTACAACTGAAGGCAGCCAGGCATTGGTGGCGCTCGCCTTTAATCCCAGCACTTGGGAGGCTGAGGCAAGTGAATCTCTAAGTTTGAGGTCAGCATGGTTTACAGAGCTAGCTCCAGGGCAGAGAAACCGTTTCAAAAACCAAAGCAAACGCCGGGCGTTGGTGGCACATGCCTTTAATCCCAGCACTCAGGAGGCAGAGGCTGGCGGATCTCTGTGAGTTTGAGGCCAGCCGGGTCTACAGAGTGAGTTCCAGGACAGGGTCCAAAACAATACAGAGAAACCCTGTCTCAAAAAACAAACAAACCAGCCAAAGCAAACAAAAGAAAAAAGAAACCCACACCCAAAACAGTGGGGCTTGAGAGGTGGCTTGGTAGTTAAGAACGCTTATTTTTGTAGAGGACCTGAGTTCAATTTTCAGAACCCTCATAGTGGCTCACAATCATCCCTAACCTATGTTTCAGGGGATCTGACTCTCCTAAACTCTATGGGTACTGAGCAGAATACTCGTACACTTAAAATAGAAGTACATACACACACCCCTCCGAGGATGAATGTCACCTGTGCAGCTTCCCCAGTCACTCTGTAGTTTAGGATAAAATACATAGTTGACACTAACTTGAAACTCAAGATGATCCTCTTGCCTTAGCTTCCCAAGTGCAGCATTTACAGGACAAGCTGCCACACCCAGCTCGCCGGTTAAATTTCTGATACAGCAAGGCTGGGGAGGGTTGGTCCAGACACCCTTCACCTGTGTTTGGGGCTCTTCCTTGTCTGTCTGAGACAGGGTCTCATGCTGGAGTCCAGGTTGGCTTGAACTCATGACGATCCTAATCCTCCCTCCCACGTGCTGGGATTACAGTCTGCACCGCTCCCCATTTAGGTGGCTTTGCTGTTTGAGACAGGGTCTGTGGTATTTGAGAACGGCTCCACAGGCTCAGAGAACTGTTTAAGGATTGGAAGGTGTGCCCTTGTAGGAGGTGTGCCACTGGGGGTGGACTTTCATGTCCGGCTGTCTCTGCCTGGACTTATGGATCAGATGCAAGCTCTCAGCTGCTGTTCCAGTGCCATGCTTGCCTGCCGACACATTGCCCACCATGATGTTCCCAAACTAATGTATTAAAGTGTAAGCAAGCCCCCAACTAGATACTTTATTTTAAAAGTTGGTCATGGTGTCTCCTCACAGCAACAGAACAACTGCAACAGTGTCTCATATAGTGCAGCTAAGGATAGCCTTGAACCCCTTCCACCTTAAGACTAGGGCGACAGGTGTCTGACACTACATCCTGTGTGTGATGTTGGGGCCATTACCTCATGCATGCTAGATGAACACAGCACCCAGAGCCCCAGCCAGCAGCAGAGCCATCCCTGTAAGGGCAGCTGTAGACATGAAAGCTGAGGTTTGCTAACAGACCGTTCTTTGCTGGAAGCTGATGGCTGGGTCAGCATGTGTCCCCCTAACTTTGGTCATTTATGAGGTGATGCCAACAGAGATCCACAGGTCAGTGTTTCAAGGCCACACCCCGAATGGCAGACAGTAGAAGTGTCTCTTTGCCCTGCACCTGGAAGCCTAGAGGGTAAAAGGGGAATCCAGAACAAGCCTCCAGGGCAGTTCTGTAGTGTCAGAACCTTCCAGGCACTGTGAGTCTTACAAGTGTCACAGGTATCAGGAACTCCCTCCAAGCATCAAATAACAGAGGCTGGGGAGGCAGAGAGGCTGCAGGAACAGGCGCTCAAAGCCAACTTCAACTCTACAGCAAGTTTGTGATCAGTCTGCCTCAAACAAAACAAAATGGCCCTTACACATAGGCCTATGTATGACTTCCACAGCAGCTCCCTGACTCCAAGATAGGAGCTTCTATTATGTCCATTTGCCAGATGAGAAAAACCAAGGCCCTTGGTAGCAGCTTGAAGGTAGGTAACTGTGCCATGTCACCATACAGGCTTGGCTGGAAAGTGTGTGTGTCCTTCTACCAAATAGGCAATATGAATGAAGGCCTTGGAAACATGGGACAGAAGGGAGAGAGAGGAGTGGCCGCTGACTTTCCCCACATCTATGCTGTCATGCCTCTCTTGGCAGAGCTAGGATGGAGGGAGGTTGTGGGATGGACATGGAAGGCAATGACTCACTGTGTGACCTTGGTGCTAGGTTAACTGATAACCACTGGCCTCCCTGCACTCCGATTTCCAAGTTTAAAAAGGAAAAAAAAAATAAAACATAAAACGTTGGGGGGTAGGCAGCCGATTAGGAAATCCCCTACTTAAATGTCTCTGCTTTCCGCTGATTTCATCATCCTGATCTCTCTCTCCCTGACTCCTCATGGCTCATTAATCTGGAAGGATCAAATGAGATCAGCTTCCTGCACTGGAATTTTCCTCCGTTAGGTAAAAGGCTGTCCTGACTTTCATTCTTCTTAGGGGCAGACATGAGGTAGATGTCAGGGACACCGCTGAAACCCTGTCCTTTTCCTCTTCCTTTGGTATGCCACTCACGCCTCAGTCATTCCGACCTTCTCCTAGAACGCAAGCCGCAAAGGCTGAAACTTTTTTTTTTTTTTTTTTTTTGGTTTTTCGAGACAGGGTCTCTCTGTATTGCTTTGGAGGCTGTCCTGGAACTCGCTCTGTAGAACAGGCTGGCCTCGAACTCACAGAGATCCGCCTGCCTCTGCCTCCCGAGTGCTGGGATTAAAGGCGTGCGCCACCACCGCCCGGCAAGACTGAAACTTTGTATCCCCCAAATGTGCCTGACACAAAGTAATCAGGGGGAGTGGAAACTTCGACAGTCGCTAGCCCCGGCTACACGGGACCCCGATGCACAGGCTCCGCTAACGAGCACAGGACTGAACCAGGAGGGCTCAGAAGGCGTCACAAAACTTCCACCAGAGGCAGGGGAAACCACTGCGCCGAGCCGCTAGCCGGCCCGGGGCCGCTATCTGGGTGCCAAGGAGCCAGCGAGGCGGGGGCGGGCAGGACGGCGGTGCAGAAGGGGCTCGGGCACGAGCGCGCGGGGGAGCCCGGCCCGGGGGCTCCCGTTACCTCCACGATCTTGATAAAGCGCGGGAACACCGGGTTGCGGGTGATGGCGATGAGGGGCAGGTGCGGAAACACATCCGGGACGGTCATGGGCGCCAGGGCCGTGACCACCGGGCCGTCCCCGCCGCCCGCCGCGGCCCCGTCCTCCGCGCCGCCCTCGGAGGTCTCCTCGCCGCCGCCGCCGCCGCCGCGGCCGCCCGCGTCCCACAGCCCCCGCCACTGGCCCCCGCCCGCCGGGACGCGGGGGCCGCCGAGCGCCCAGGGGGCGGGGGCGGACGCGTCGCACAGCCGCCGGCCTCGGCGCGGCCACGACCCCGACGCGCTCGGGACGCGGCCTCCGGTGACCGCCAGCAGCGGCCGCCGCAGCACCCAGCACCGCGCGGCGGCCCACAGGCGCACGTAGCCCGCGCTCGCCGCCATGGAACAGCCATACTGGCGGCGCACCGCGACCACGTCATCTCTGCTCGACCCACGGATGCGCACGTGACGACGCGCGCGTGCTTCGGGACTGGGACGGGGCTTGGGAAGGTGGGCGTGGCCAGAGGGGGCGGGGGGGGGAGGCTGAACGCTCCCGGTTGCAAGGCCGGCGGGACGTGGAGGTGGGGGCGTGGCTCGAGGAAGGACACTCTAGAGGGCGGGTTTGGAGGAGGTGGACAGAAAGGGGAGACGAGTTGTTGTAGACGCTGGAGGAAAAATGACTGGGAGGGGACGGAAGTGACGTGTCGTCCGGCTAAACAAGGCTCCACGGAGAGGGCCTTGGAGGAACCGGAAGAGGGGGCGTGGCCGACGGCCAACTCAAAGGGCGGGGCTTTGAAAGGTGCTGGTGGGGGCGTGGCCACGGAGGAGGCTTGAGGGGCGGGGCTTGAAGAGGTGGCGTGGGATGAGGCGGGAGGTGGGCTCAAGGGGCGGGTCTCGAGACAGCGGGTGGGGCGGGGCTCAATGCGGTAGAGCGCGTGGGGCTTGTTGTGGGCGTGGTCGGAGCGCAAGGCTCCGGTGCGGGTCCTGGAGGAGGCGTGGTCCCTCCCTGTTCTAGCGGTCCCTCAGAACTGCGTTCCGTTTCCTAGTTTCTTAAGTTTTCCTTGCGTGAAGGAAAGCACGGCGCACCCCTGCTTTATAACTTTAGCCTTACTCGTGTCCGTCCCACCATCTTCACTCCACACTGGAGGAGGCGCCTGTGGAGGGCTTTTGCCTCCCTCTCTAACAGGCACCCGGCAGGCTTTGCACATGTGTGCGTGCTCGGTGTCGCCTGTGTGGACGGATCCGCACAAGGCCCTTAAGAAAACACTGACGTCTCAAGGGAGCGTCCCCCGCGGCCCAGTGCGCACGCTCAAACTCTGCAAAGCTGCTGGGGGATTTACGCGTGCCCAAAGCCCTGGTCCCACGCCCACCTGTCGGAATGCACTTTCGGAGCTGGGAGCCTGGGCGCTTTCAGGTTAAAGATGCTCTGCTTCCACATTGCAATGCTCACCCTCCCTTGCCCCCGAGTAGATCTGTTGGGGCTTTTTGAGGGACTCTGTTGTGCACATCCAAAAGGTTCCCGATGGCGGCCTTCATACCAGGTGCGCAGGGGCGGACTTGGGGGTGGGGCGTGAAGTGGCGTACCCTCAAGTTCTACGCGCATGCTCAGAGTCTTCCTCAAGCTCCCTGGCAGTTGGGGAGCGGTGTTAGCTGCTGACAGCCAGGCAGGCAAGATGCTGTTGCTGATGCTGGCAGCAGTGGCCGCTGTGGGCCGAGCTCAGCCGGTGTGCAGGTACAACTGCCTAACCGGAATGGGATGCAGCTAGGGGTGACTTGAGGCCTGCTCTGAAGTCCCATTGTAGGAATCAAACTTGACACATCCCTTCCCAGCACATCACTAAAACCTGGTGCTCGGTGTAAAACCAGGGCTTTGAGCATGTATAAAACCCAAGTTCCTTGTGCAGTCTGAAATGTGTCCTACAGTCCACCCCCAAGCTTCCGGCATCTGAGGCTAGTTAAATCCATGCTGGGAAGTGTGCCGTGCATGGTGCCGCGGTTAGCGGTGTCTCTGATTGCTACCATGTAATAATGTCTCTATATGTTGCTAAGTGTCCCCTGGGGACCTCGGTTCTCTGCCCTGAACCCTGAATCATCACTAGAGTCCTGGAAGGCCTGAGCTACATAGTCAGACCTGTCTCTGAATTAAAAAATATCATGCCTCAGCCTCCCCACTACTGAGGTGACAGGTGATAACACACACGCATACATACATACATACATACATACATATCAGTAAATATTACACTCAAGGGTACCGTGAGCCAAGAGCCACAGGGACCCAAGAGGTGTAGGTGTCCCAGCAGGTGACTTGTCCCACCCATATGGAACTTATTTGCTGCAAAACAGAAAGAAAAAAAAAAAACGAAGCAGGAAAGCTTAAGAAATACTTGCAAAAAGCAACTGTTGGTGAGCCTTGGGCTGGAGCTCGGTGGGCAGAGCACTGGCCCAGCTGGTGAAGCCCGGGCCACCTCCAGCACCACGGACAAGCGGCGCGGTGACCCACCCACACCTGCCATCACAGCAGTGAGGGAGAGGAGGCGGGAGGGTTAGGAGACCTATGCCTGGGCAGTGTGTCTCTGAATAAACGGTGAAAGAACCTGGGGACCTCCAAGGTAGAGAGCCCCCGGAGCACTAAGGCCGTGGGTTCCATTCCCAGCACCGTGCCTGGGATGGGGTGTGATGGGAAATGTCAGAGAGCCCAAGGAGAGCACCAGGTTCCCTGAGCTGCAGACAGTTGTGAGATGCCATGTGGATGCTGGGAACCAAACCCGTGTCCTCTGGAAGAGCGGTCAGTGCTCTTAACTGCTGAGCTGTCGCTCCAGCCCCTGCCTTTTTTCTTGTTACTTATTGATTTTTGACACAGGGTTTCTCTGTGTAGCCCTAGATGGCCTGGAACTCAGTCTGTAGACCTGGGGTTAAAGATGTGCACCACACCTGGCTAATCGTTTAAATTATTTGTGTGTGTCTCTGTATGTATATGTCTGTGTGTATGTATATGTATGTGGGTATGTATGTCTGTGTGTCTCTGTGTGTAGATGTATCTGTGTATGTATATGTGTATGTCTATATATCTCTCTCTGTGTATATGTGTGTGTCTGTGTATGTATATGTATATGTCTGTGTGTCTGTGTATATGTGTGTATGTCATGTGTGTATGTCTCTTTTGTGTATGTCTGTGTGTGTATATGTGTGTATATGTGTATGTCTGTGTCTCATGTGTGTGTGTGTCTGTGTATATGTGTGTGTATGTCATGTGTGTATGTCTCCGTGTGTGTGTGTGTGTGTCTCTGTGTATATGTGTGTGTATGTCTCATGTGTGTATATGTGTATGTCTCATGTGTGTGTGTGTGTCTCATTTGTGTTTGTGTATATGTGTGTATGTGTCATGTGTGTGTCTGTGTGTGTGTGAAGTCAGAAGACAACTTGCAGGAGCCAGTTCTCTCCACCAGGGCCAAACTCAGGTTGTTAGCCTTTGCCGCAGCTCAGGTTGTTAGCCTTTGCCGCAAGCCCCTTCATGTAGTGAGCCATCTCACTGGTCCAGTCTTTGGTGTGAGTGTGAGCCATGAAGTCTCTGAATTCTCCTGTCTCTGCCTCCTGCCTCCATGGTAGGCGTACCAGGCTGACCAAGCCACAGCACCCTGCCGAGCTCTCACGCTGTTCGAGGGCTGTGGCAGGAGCCTCTCCCACCAACATTCGGTGCTGTAGAACTCCAGACTACACACTGTGCAATATGTCCAGAGGCAGCATGTTGGGAAAGGCCATGTGGCCCAGAAGTTAGAACACTGGTTGCTCCTGCAGAGGCCCCAGGTTCCATTCCCAGCAACCACAAGGAGGCTCAGGGGACCTGATGCCCCCTGCTGGGCGCCTCGGGCACTGTATGCAGCCAAAATGGCCACACAATGAAAATATTTAAGAATGGAATAAAAAAAAAAAGAATAAACGAAAAGCTAAAGCCTGACGGCTGCTGTTTTTTGATCCCTCTAGTCAGCGCAAGGTGAGGACCGGAAAGGTGTTTACTTCTGAGCCGCTAGCTAGAGGGGTAAGTGTTCCCTCACACTCCCCGTTCCTCCACGGCTGCACAGCAAGGGTTCCTAGTATTTTCTTTCCCTTCTCTCCACCTCAGTGACCCAGACTGGGACCGAGAACCTGGGCTCTGCTCCTCTGGAGCCCTGAGGGGCAGGCCCGGGCCTCCTCCTGGCTGACGGGTCTGTGCTGTCTGCAGGACCAGCTGTTCCATGCCTCCACGACCACATATGTGATCAGGAACTTCTGCAAGAGTAACGTGGTCCTGTACCTGGGGTAAGCCGCTTCCCTGTCCCCTTCTCCGCTTCCTCTCCCTCCCACCCCTCTCCTCCCCCCTGCCTGTTGTTTTTCAAAACTCAACCAGCTCTGGCCCAGGTTGTTAGTGTGGCCCAAGCTAGAGCCCCTCGCTGGGCTGGCTGTGGACAGAGAGGGAGACTGGGGCCCAGGCAAAGCATTGCTGCTCAGAAGACAGGTGCCAAGCCCGTGGCTTCCACCCATCACAGCTTGACAAAACAAAACAAAAAAGTGATTTTCTTGGCTTAAAAAAATTTTTTTTGGTTTTTCGAGACAGGGTTTCTCTGTGGCTTTGGAGGCTGTCATGGAACTCGCTTGGTAGTCCAGGCTGGCCTCGAACTCACAGAGATCCGCCTGCCTCTGCCTCCTGAGTGCTGGGAGTAAAGGCGTGCTCCACACACACCGGGCTCTGTGTGCTTGCTTTTACAGACAGACTCTGATTCCGTGTCTCAGGACAGGTCAGTCTAACCCTGCAGCACCCACAGGTCTCAGCTCCAGAGTGCAGGCGTGGATTGCAGGAGGCACCACCACTGCTGGCCACTGGTCACAAACGCATCTATGTCTTTGTTTATCTGTTTGCTATCTTTTTTGTAACTGGGTCTCATGTAGCCCAGGCTTGTTGTTCTTTTGTTTCAGTTATAAGTAGAACAGATGGAACAGGAAACCACGAACCAGGAGACTCAACAAACCCATGTGGAGTTTGTTGAAGGGAACGGGAAGAAGGAAAGTGGGGAGGGAGAGAGAGAGAAGCGGAGAAGGGAGAGAAAGAGAAGAGAGAGGAGAGATGAAGGGAGAGAGAGAGAGAGGACACGTGGAGGCGCTCGCTTAAAAGGAGAAGCTTGCACATGCGCACTGAGTCCTTTCGCAGTCCCATATCACATGATGCAGCCGCGACGTGGCCACGCAACACAGGGCCCTGTGAGCTGGCAAAGTTCTGTCTGAATGCGTTGTCTGTCCTGTCCTGCGTTGTTCTAGCTGTCCTGCTTTGTCAGGGGCGGGGTCAGAATAACGCGGAGGGCCAGCCTGAGCTCTTGATCCTTTGGCCTCACTCAGACTCTGAAGTTCCAGGACAGCGGACCTGTGCCACCCCACGCCTAACTTATTTCATTTGTGGTCATTTTGTCACTATGTAATTAAAAAAAAAAAAAGAGGCAGACACAGTATATCATTCTGGGTGACTCTGGGCTGGCAGGTAGCTTGGAAGGGAAATGGTCTTAGGCCTACCCAGCACAAGAAGCTTCCTGATTCTAACCCCCCCCCCTTTTGTTGCAGGAAGAAGGTTTTTTTATCCAAGGACAACTTTGAGAGTAGCCTCCCGCCACTCATCATTCCCAAGTCAATGCTGGTAGATATTTCCCCAACCTATGACTCCGAATGAGTTACACTCAGAGAAGACTGTGGGGTTCGGGGCATAGGCCTGTCAGCTGCCAGTCCTCTTAGGAAATTCTCTCCCAGATGTTGAGTCACAGATGTCAAGAGAGTGATGTCATTCCGTCACTTCATTCCACCCCCTCCCCTCCCTTCCCCTGCCCTCCCCTCCTCTCCCCTGCCCTCCCCTCCCCTCCCTTCCCCTGCCCTCCCCTGCCCTGCCCTCCCCTCCCCTCCTCTCCCCTGCCCTCCCCTCCCCTCCTCTCCCCTGCCCTCCCCTCCCTCCTCTCCCTTCCCCTCCCCTGCCCTCCCCTCCCCTCCTCTCTTCTTCCCTCCCCTCCCCTCCTCTCCCCTGCCCTCCCCTCCCCTCCCTTCCCCTGCCCTCCCCTCCCCTGCCCTCCCCTCCCCTCCTCTCTTCTTCCCTCCCCTCCCCTCCTCTCTTCTTCCCTCCCCTCCCCTCCCTTCCCCTGCCCTCCCCTCCCCTCCTCTCCCCTGCCCTCCCCTGCCCTCCCCTCCCCTGCCCTCCCCTCCTCTCCCCTGCCCTCCCCTGCCCTGCCCTCCCCTCCTCTCCCCTCCCCTCCCCTCTCCCTTTCTTTCTCTTATGTTCCTCATCCGTGTAGTCTTTACCTTTCTCCTTTTCTATTCCCCTTCCCTTAAAATGTTCATTTGAGAGTTCAGTTTTTATTTTATGTATGTGGTGTTTTGTCTGCACGTCCGTTACCACACCATGGATGTGCCTGGTGCCCAAGGAGACCACTGGGGGGCTCCGGATCCCCTGGGACTGGTGTAACAGGTGGTCGTGAGCCTCTGCAGGTGCCAGGAACCGAACCTTGGCCCCTGCAGGAGCAATCCATGCTCACAGCCACTGAGCCTCTCTCCAGTCTCTCAGAGGACTTTCTGCTGAGAAGGAAGGATGCGCACAGGTTGACAGAGACAACTTTGCCTTCCTGTCTTAGCATCTGGCCAGATAATTGCAGACCCAGATCCCAGAGTGGAAGAAACAGGTGAATTAGGGGCTAAGGAGACCGCTCGGCAGAGTCAAGTGAGGGTGTGACCACGAGCTGTCAGAGTACACAGAGAAGCACGGTGTGCAGAGGCAGAGAAGGGAGCGGCCTGGAGCTCACTGGCTACCAGCCAAACAGAGAAGTTCAGGGTCAGCCAAACAGAAGGTGAGATCAGAGAAAGCTCAGTGGTTAGAGCTCTGGGTCCAATCCCCAGCACCCACCTCTTCTGGTCTTTGAGGTGCCCAAAGGCAGGTGCCAGATACATATAAATAAAAATAACGAACCTTTTTAAAAGCAGATTTCTTAGACTTATTACATAAGTGTTCTGTCTGTATATATACCTGCAATCCATAAGGGAGCACCAGATATCACTACAGATGGCTGTGAGCCACCGTGTGGTTGCTGGGTATTGAACTCAGGACTTTTGGAAGAGCAGTCAGTGCTCTTAACCTCTGAGCCATCTCTCTAGCTCTTAAGAGTGGATTTTACTTTGTGTGTGTAACTCCATGTCTGTCTATGCAGTGCCTGGGGAGGCCAGAAGGGGGCTTCAGGTCCCCTGGAGCTGGAGTTACAGGTGTTTGTGAGCCGCCTCGTGGGCGCTGAGAGCAGAACTCTGATCCTCTGGAAGAGCAGTCAGTGTCCTTAATTGCTGAGCCAAGACACATCAGTAGGATATGCTGAAAAGGCAGGAGAATTATGAGCTCAAAGTCTGGACTATACCTTTAAAAATAATAAGTGAGGCTGGGTGGTGGTGGCGCACGCCTTTAATCCCAGCACTCGGGAGGCAGAGGCAGGTGGACCTCTGTGAGTTCGAGGCCAGCCTGGTCTACAGAGCGAGTTCCAGGACAGCCTTCAAAACTACACAGAGGAAACCTTGTCTTGAAAAATAAATAAATAAATAATAAAAATATTAAGTATTAGTAATATAAGGTGGAGGGCTACAGAAAGGGTGGAGGCATTATCCACTGGCTTCCACATGTGCCCAGGTAAACACGCCACACACACACCCGGTAAGCAAATGTCTACTGCAGGGAGTGGTGCCTTTGATCCCAGAGCTTGAGGGGCAGAGGCAGGCAGATCTCAGAGAGAGGTTGAGGCCAGCCTGGAAGACATAAGATAGACAGACAGACAGACAGACAGATAGACAGACAGACCCTGCCCTCCCTGTGAACCAGAAGAAACCCTCTGTGCCTCCATCAGGGATTCTGTCACAGTGTATGTCATTATTCCTAGGTGGGAGTAGCATCAGTCACGAGCGCTTTCTTTGCCTCTGGTACTGTGCTACTGTTGGTGGTGAATGAGAAAATCTACTCTTACAATTACCTTACGAACGTCTGGAGTAAACCTGCAGGTGTGTGGTCCCCTGTGCCCGCGGCAGGTCTACCCCACCCCGCCCTGTGCCTCCTATCTGCTGTCCCTGTTCCTTTGCTGCTCCTTGTCTTGTCTTGTCTTATTTTGTTTTGGAGACAGAGCCTTGTGTAACCTAGGCGGGTCTCAACCTAGCTATATAGTCAGAATGACCTTGAACTGCTCCCCCGTCCCTCCTCTGTGTTGCTGGGGTGGTAGGCATGCATTACCATGTCTGCTTTATGTGGTGCTGGGGTGGAATCTGGGACCTGTGCATGCTACATGGGATCTCTGCCCATTGAGCCCCAGCCCCATTTCAAAGTTTGTTGGGTTTTTTCCTCCTTTTTATTGTATTTTATTAGTGTTTGCCTGCATATCTGTGTATCACATGTGTGCAGTGCCCATGCCGGCCAGAAGGGGGCATCAGGTCCTGTTTTGGAATATTTGTCTAACTGGCAGAGATATATTGCATTTGTTTAACTATGTAAACATGTTGCATTTCAAGTTTGGTGGGTTTTTTCTTTTATTGTATGTGTGTATTACTGTTTGCCTGTATCTCTGTCTATGTATCTATCACATGTGTGCAGTGCCCATGCTGGCCAGAAGGGGCTGTAAGGTCCTGTTTCAGAATATTTGTTTGTTTGTTTGTTTGTTTGTTTGTTTTTGGTTTTTACGAGACAGGGTTTCTCTGTATTGTTTCGGAGGCTACCGGTCCAGCCTGGCTTCGAACTCACAGAGATCCGCCTGCCTCTGCCTCCCGAGGGCTGGGATTAAAGGCGTGTGCCACCACCGCCTGGCCAGAATATTTGTTTAATTACACAAAGATGTGTTGCATTTGTTTAACTATGTGAAGATGTGTTTCCTGTTTTACCTTGCCTGCCTAAGGCACCTGATTGGTTTAATAAAAAGCCAAGTGGTCAATAGCAAGTGAGGAGGTACAGGCAGCACTTCCAGGCAGGGAGAGTAAGGAGGAGGAGAAATTTAGGCTCTGGAAGAAAAAGAAGAGACGTCAGGGAGGTGCCAGGGCCAGGGCATCAGGCAAGTGGGGCACACAGTGACAGAAAGGGAAAAAGCCCGAGGCCAGACACACATGAAGAGAAACAGGCTCAGTTAAGTTACAAGACGCAGTGAGACAAGCCTAAGCTAAGCCTGGGCATTCGTAATTAATGCTAGGTCTTTGTGCCATTATTTGGAAGCTGGCTGGTGGCCGAAAGAAAATTCCAACTTCGGGGTCCCAGGACTGGAGTCACAGACGTCTGTGAGCCGTCATCTGGGTTCTGGGAAGCAAACCCGGGTCCTCTGGGGGAGCAGCCACTGAGGCACCGCTCCAGCCCCTGTTTTGATTTGAGAAGAACCCTGTAGTGCAGGCTGGCCTCAGATTCACAATCCTCTTGCCTCGGCCCTCAGTCCTAGACTAACAGGCACGTGCTGTCTTATACCTGGCCCGGCCTAATACTGAACTCTGGAGAACTCAAAACTTGCAGCCAGGGGTGTTGGCGCAGGACCCTCAGCACAGCATCCGGGGTGTGGAAGCAGGAAGTTTCAGGAGTTGGGTGTCAACCAGGGATGGACAGCCAGTTGTGGGCCCGTCTCAAAAAAGGAAAGCAAAACTCACAGCTGCCAATGGCTCCACCTCCAGGGACACGGTGCCCTCTCCTGGCCACCTCACCAGGCACACGCACGCTAGTGTGCTCACGCGCGCGCACACACACACAAACATAAAAATTAAAAGTTCACACACACACGCACACACAAACATAAAATTAAAAATTCACACACACACACAAACATAAAAATCAAAAGTTCACACACACGTATATGTAATGTATATATTTTAACTTATCTTCCCTTCAGGTATATCAAGTCCCGTCTCACATATTAGTGGTGACAGTTGTTGTTTTAATAACCAGTTTTGCACGGTAAGTTGGAATCTTTCATTAAAAAAAGTTCTCTTCTAAGTGCAAATACTTAGGAATGACCTAGGAACCTATAAGAAGGGCTAACCTTAGGAGGTGTCACTTCCCCACTCTTAGAGGAAGGCTGACCCATGAGGCACCCTCCTGTGGGATTGACTAGTCAGGAGAATTGAATATGTGTCTTTCTTTATTATTGGGTTTTGGGGTGTTTTCTTGGTTTTGAGGCAGGGTCTCATAAAGCTCAGGCTAATTATGACTCTGAACTCCTGATCCTCCTGGAGCTAGATGACAGGTGTGACCTGAGCACTCACCTTACACTGTCTCACCCAGCTTTTCGTTTGTTTGATGGACAGGTGCGTCTGGGAGGTGGAGGCAGACTGGTCTCCATGAGTTCCAGGCCAGCCTAGTGCTCATAGTGAGTTCCAGGCTATCCAGGGCTACCTAGGGAGGAGAGAGAGGGAAAGGGAGAGGGAGAGGGAGAGGGAGAGGGGGAGAGTATTGTTGCCTTTCTGGGGACCCAGCTGCTGGCCAGCAGGGATGGTAGGATGGCACCAGCCCTGCCCCAGATGCACACTGCAGTGGCTGTCACTCTGGAAGGTAGCCTTTACCAGTGTCCACCCACTCTTCCTGCTCTTAGCTTCTTTCTGCCCTGCTCTGTGCCTGGAGCAGGGGTGTCAGCAGCCTGCCCTTCACGCCCAGCACCTGGCGCCACTGTAAGCCTCTGCGTCTCCTGCTCGCCGCCAAGCCTCCCTTGGCTGGGGCTGAGAGCAGCGTTTGGCTTTGGTGTACACAGATGTTTTGTCAGTTGAGCTAAAGGATGGCATTGGGTCCCCCAGGCCTGGACTCCAGAGTCTCAAGCAAGTTTAAGAACTCAGGCTTGGGCTGCCTCTGCTGTCACTCACCCCAGAACAGCCCTGCCCCAACATTACCCCTCATAGGTGGCGTAGCCCATCCTCATCCTTCTTTGTCCTCCCTGCACCCCACACAGCACTTCCTGGCTGTGGAAGCCAGCCAGCAGGAAGGAAGCTTCCAACTTATGTATTCTATGTCTTGTGGCCACGGTGCGGGGAGGCTTCAACAGCAGGGTCATGTTAGCTCGATCTGAAAGAAGCCTGCATTGCTTCGGGGCCTCAGGGCCTCTCTGGCCAACGGCTCATGTGGAGGCTCCCACATCTGGCACGAGGCTTCTGTGTAATACCCAACAACTTTGAGGAGTGGCAGTGTCCAGGCCTGTAGGCTTTCTTCCCCAATAACTCTTTTAAAAAGTCATACACATATTTTTATTTATTTATGTAGACAGGGTTTCTCTGTGTGCCCTGGCTGTCCTGGAGCTCTCTCTCTAACCCAGAGATCTGCCTGCCTCTCCCTCTGGTGTGCTGGGATTAAAGGTGTGCACCAGCACCTGGCTCAAAAACAATTTTTAAAAGATTTATTTGTTTTGGATCTCTGTGAGTTCGAGGCCGGGCTGGACCGATAGCCTCCAAAACAATAAAACAAACCCTGTCTCATAAAAACAAAAAAACAAACAAACAAAAAAGATTTATTTATTTATTACGTAGACAGAGTTCTGCCTGCATGCATGCCTGCAGGCCAAAAGGAAGCACCAGGTCTCACTACAGATGGCTGTGAGCCACCGTGTGGTTGCTGGGAATTGAACTCAGGACCTACATAAGAGCAGTCAGTGTTCTTAACCTTTGAGCCATCTCTCCAGCCCCTCAAAAACAGTTTTTTAAAAGTTAATTGAACCTAGGCTTGGTGTTCTAACCCTGGAATTTCAGTATTCAGAATGCTTAGGTAGGAGGATAGTCATGAATTTTAGACTAACCTTGGTGAACAGTGAGAATCTCAAACAAACAAATAAATAGACAAAAAGAAAAAAAACAAAACAAAAACCAAGAATAAAAAAAAGCAAAAACACACAAACAAATAAAACCAAAAATAAGAACAAAGGCCAGTCAAGTGTCTCAATGAGTAAAGGTACCACTCAAGGCTGGTGTCTGAGCTGGCTCCCCAGAGCCTACATAAAAGTGGAAGGAGAGAGCCAACTCCACGGTTGCCTCTGGCGCTCGCGCGCACACACACACACACACACACACACACACACACACACACACACACACACACGAGAAAGAGAGAGAGAGAAAGAGTGAATACATACAGGCAACCAGACCTGATTGTAGTCTGAAGTTTCTATCTCACTCAGTCCCATGGTCGTTTAGCCCCAAATAAACACACAGAGGCTTATATTAATTATAAACTGTCTGGCCAATGACTCAGGCTTCTTATTGGCTAGCTCTCTCTTAATTATTAACTCATTTCTATTAATTTATGTATTTCCACGTAGTCTTGGCTTACTGGATAATGTCCAGGCATCCTACCTTCCCGGTAGCTCCGTGGCTTCTCTTTGACTCCACTTATTACCTTTACCTACTCCTGTTTGGATTTCCCACGTGGCTAAATCCTGCCTGTCCGTTGGCCAAAACAGCTTTATTCATCAGCCAATAAGAGAAACACACATTCCCAGCACACAGAAGGACCTCCCCCATGGCCTGATCACAGCCTTGAGGTCAGGATCACAGAAACCATGACAGTGAAGCTGGTAACAGAGACGCCAGTGGCCGAGCAGTTTGTACAGGCGGAGCACTGGGAGGGAATGTGGCTCAGGTGCAGGATGTGCTGGAGGAGGTCAGCGTGGGATGAACCTTGTTTACGTGAGAAAAGATGACCCCCATGTCACCGTATGAGAACTGACCCCGATGTCACGGTGTGAGAACTGGGCAGGTGAAGCAGTTGGTGCTTTGAACCTTGCAAAGTCTGGCCTTGGCCTAGAGAAGAGGCAAACATGGCTGCCAATGTGGTAGCAGATGCTGTGGGGTAATCAACCCTTCTGTACACTGTGACTATGTGTGACTCTCATTGGTTAATAAAGAACTGACTAGCTGGGCGTTGGTGGCGCACACCTTTAATCCCAGCCCTCGGGAGGCAGAGGCAGGTGGATCTCTGTGAGTTCGAGGCCAGCCTGGTCTACAGAGCGATTTCCAGGACAGCCTCCAAAGCCACAGAGAAACCCTGTCTGGAAAAACCAAACAACAACAAAAGGACTGACTGGCCAGTAGCCCGGCAGGGAGCACAGGCAGGACAACCAAACTAAGGATTCTGGGGCGAAGAAGGGTGGAGTTGGGAGTCGCCAGGAGACACAGGGAGCAACAGGTAAACCACGAGCCACACGGCCATTCACAGATTAATAGAAGTGGGTTAATTTAAGTTGTAAGAGTTATTTAGTAATGTGTTTGAGCTATCGGCCAAGCATTTATAATTAATAATAAACTTCAGTGTGGTTATTTGGGAGCTGGTAGGTGGTACAGAAACCTCCATCTATGGTGAGTTGAGGATTTGGGTGCTCTGACAGCCTTTCTTGCCCGTGAATTCCTCACTAGATGGGTGTTTTAGGGAGGGGTCTTCCTGAGTACCCCATCCCACTGGGTCTGGACGTAAACCCTTGTGTCTGTGACTCAAAATCCCGGCCTTTTCTGATGAGCAGCACAGTCATGTAACAGACTGCCTATGGCTATTCCACCCAGAATAAACTGAGTAAACTGAGGGGCCCCAGACCAGTGCTAGCCAGCTGCAGCTGGAGGAGCCAGGCAGACACCCAGTGTTCCATTCAGGTGAAGGAAGTTCTCACCCAAACCTCATTCAAGAGATGCATTGGGAGGGAGGAACCCAGGAGCGTGGCTGCCTCTGCCAGGGTGGGAGCAGACAGCGTGGCAGCCACGCAACCAGAAGCTGCCCAGACACAGGGTTTATATAGGGCTTCTTAGGGGGCGGAGTTTCTCCAGGGAGAGTTCCAGGGTGGGGATTGGTCAGATTTCAGTCCCTTGGTGAGGTCTCATGCTCAGAGATTGGTTTGTTTTCTGAACAGGTTTAGGGTCAGATTTGGCTCTGGTTTCAGGGCCAAAGTATCTTTCTCTCTCTCTCTCTCTCTCTCTCTCTCTCTCTCTCTCTCTCTCTCTCTCTCTCTCTCTTTCTTTCTATAAGTGTATTTCTTTCTCTGGTCCTTGCCTTTTGGCTCCAATTTTAGGGCCAGGGCGCATTTCTTTCACTGGCTCTGATTCCGGGGACAAAGTGTGTTCCTTTGGCGCTGGTTTCAGGGTCAGGGTACATTTCTTTGGTTCTGGTTACAGGGCCAAAGTGTGTTTCTTTGGCTCTGCTCAGAGTGTGTTTCTTTGGCTGGCTTTTTCCCTGCAGGTTTTATGTGAGAGTCATCTGGGTGAGGGTGTCTGAGCTGACGCAGGCAGGCTGGGTTAATCAGGAGCCAGGTACACTCTACGGAATGGTGGTGGACATTGGGGGCAGGGAAGCGATGCTTTCCTGACATAGAAATGTGCATCGCGGGGTTCTGAGGAATGCTGACCTTACGTTTGTGCTCATCTGGTAGACATCTGCCCTGGTTTGGGCTGGGCCATCTTCTTAGGCCATTGTCAACAGCACTGCCATTGGGGGGCAGGGGACACCTATTTTATGACCTAATAAGGGGGAGCTACTATCCAGAGATCCAGAAACGTCGACCTCCACAGAATTGTCCTTCATTTAGCCCTCTGACAGTCACACTCGCCGCTCTCCCAGACCATCTGATTCTGTAACTTCATTGTTTCAAGAATATGTCGCCGGGCGTTGGTGGCACACACCTTTAATCCCAGCACACGGGAGGCAGAGGCAGGCGGATCTCTGTGAGTTGGAGGCCAGCCTGGTCTACAAGAGCTAGTTCCGGAACAGCCTCCAAAACAATACAGAGAAACCCTGTCTGGAAAAGAAAAACGAAAAAAAAAAAAAAACCTAATGACAGTGACAAATGTTCACACGGTGTAAAGGAATACTGCACAGTAGTTAAACACCATGGCCAAGGTACTTACAGAAGTGTTTATTGGGGTTCCCATCTTCCGAGGGTGAGTCCATGGTGGGATCATGGCAGCAGGCAGATATGCTAGAGCAGCTGCTGGAGACAGAGAGAGAGAGAGAGAGAGAGAGAGAGAGAGAGAGAGAGAGAGAGAGAGAGAGAGAGAGAGAGAGAGAGAGAGAGAGAGCGAGAGCTACCTGGGCCTGCTGTGGCCTCAAAGCCCAACCCATGACATGCCTCCTCCACAAAGGCCACACCTCCTGACCGTTCCCAAACAACGCCACCAACTGGGTACCAAATGTTCAGTCAGATGAGCCTATGAGGGTGTGGGCAGTCTAACTCAGATGCCATGGTGTATGAATGCAAACATGGGAGATGTGGCCTTGGAGACTTCGTCTGCAAAATTCCCACAGAGACTCTCTGTTGTGTGTGTGCATTGGTCTCCCACCCCTTTGGAGTCCTGAGAATTTGGTGGTTTCCACTTTTTCATTGTTAAAAGCAAGCACTCTGCCTTAGTCCCATGCCCCTACTAGCTGCGGTATCCATATGGTCACCTATGTGGTGAGACCGCACCTCCCCAGGGTGCGGGATGAGAACACCCTGTGAACGCTTCCTTGTAGATAGGTTTCCATGCAAGCACAGAGTTGTCTGTTGTTTTGGACTGGATGCCCAAGGATAGGCTCCTGGAAGTAATCCTCAGGCATAGCCAAGGACGACCTAGAATTCCTGGCCCTGCATCTCCCAGGTTCCGGGATGTGGGTGTGTGCCAGCCTGCTGGGTTAATGTAACTCTGGGGTAGGAGCTGGGGCCTCCTGCATGCTTGGCAGGAGCTCTACCCTCCGAGCGTTCTTGTGACATCTTGTGAGTGTTCTTCCTCCAGGAGTTATCGAATAGTCTTTTCGCCTATTTTCGTGGTGGCCAACTGCCTTGGACCCCAATATACTTCTCTGACAATGGAGGATTCTCGTTCCAGCACCTGGCCAGAGAGAGAGTGGTGAGTGGCTGGGGAAAGGGCATGGTGGAGGTGACCCTGGGAGCCGCGCCCTTCCTCTGGCCCAGTGGGTAATTAGTGCTGAGGGCAAGGAAGGGCAGACGTTTGCCTCAGTGCTGTGGCCATGGTCGGTGGCTCCTGACTCCAGCAAGCTGTCCTGAATTCATCGGCTCAACTTGATACAACCTAGAGTCATTTGGGAAGAAGCCAGCATTGAAAAAATGCCTCCCCTCCGTCCCAGATCGGGCTGTGAGGCATTCTCTTGACGGAAGATTGATTGGTGATACAGATGGAGGGGGTCCCAGCCCGCTGTGGGAGGGGCCACCCCAGGAGGGCTGAGTGAGCTGTGTTCCTCCAGGACATCTGTTCGGTCCCTGCCCTGAGCTCATCTGGTGATAGCTGGCACCAGGGAAGTGTCAGGTGAAATGAACCCTTTCCTCCTTTATCTGCTTCTGGTCATGCCGCTGTTCATCACAGCCAGAGACCCTGACTGAGACAGTCGCCGAAACCAGAACTAAGAAGAGGACCGCCTGGGAGGAAGGAGATCGGCAGGAGGGGGAGAGCACAAGGGACGGGGATGGGGGCATAGTTAAAGAGCAATGTGGACACGGAAGAAGACGCTACGGGTGGTTAACACGTGTTGGTTAAAGACTGCCAGGCTGGCCGGGCGTTGGTGGCGCACGCCTTTAATCCCAGCACTCGGGAGGCAGAGGCAGGCGGATCTCTGTGAGTTCGAGGCCAGCCTGGTCTACAGAGGGAGTGCTAGGACAGCCAGAGCTACACAGAAAGACCCTATCTCAAAAAACAAAACAACAAAAACCAAAAGTGACTATGTGGCTGTGTGACTGTGTGGCTGTGTGACTGACTGTGTGACTGTGACTGACTGTGTGACTGTGTGGCTGTGTGACTGTGTGACTGACTGTGTGACTGTGACTGACTTGTGACTGTGTGACTGTGTGGCTGTGTGACTGACTGTGTGACTGTGTGGCTGTGTGACTGTGTGACTGACTGTGTGACTGTGGCTGTGTGGCTGTGTGACTGTGTGACTGACTGTGTGACTGTGTGGCTGTGTGACTGTGTGGCTGGCCTCTGGTGTCCTCCTCTCTGTCTCCTTTTCTCACTTCCTCTCTCTCTAGATTTCTCCTCCTATTTATTCTCTTGTATGCCTGTCCCACCTGTTATTCTTCCTGCCTAGCTGTTGGAAATTGAGCTTTAAACATTTTTTGTTTGTTTTTCAAGACAGGGTTTCTCTGTGTAATAGTCCTGGCTGTACTGGACCAGGCTGCCTCAAACTCACACAGCTCTGCCTGCCTCTACCCAGTAAGTGCTGGGATTAAAAGCCATCAGCAACAATCCCAGTGGGTAAAAGTCTTTACAGAAATCTCTAACATAGTTTGTGAGGCCGAAGTCCCTTCCTTCCTTCCTTCCTTCCTTCCTTCCTTCCTTCCTTCCTTCCTTCCTTCCTTCCTTCCTTTCTTCCTTTCTCTCTCTCTAAGATTTTTTATTATGTATAGTGTTCTGCCAGCACATATGCCTGCAGGCCAGAAGAGGGCGCCAAATCTCATTACAGATGGTTGTGGGACATTATGTAGTTGCTGGGAATTGAACTCAGGGCCTCTGGAAGAGCAGTCAGTGTTCTTAACCTCTGAGCCATCTCTCCAGCCCAAGAACTCAGTTTCTGACCTCAAATGATTCTTTAGCAAATGATCGTTGTTGAGCACTATGCAAAGGCTACTTCTCACAAATGTGGGCTCTTTGTTGTGAAGGTTGCTTCTGACCTGTCCGCTGCTTGATCACCACACATTACCCTGAGTCAGGTGCCTGGGAGAGTACATGATTTAAGGCTGTAGCTATGGCTGGGCATGGCAGCGCACCCCTTTAGTGCAGGAACTCTACATAAATAAATAAATAAATAAATGAACTACACAGCTACCTTACATGGGGTATCCAGAGCACAGCAAGGCTGGTTTGACATTGTTCTCTTAAAGGGAGGCTGAACATACAGGCTGAACACACAGTAGGACAGCAGTATTAAATCTTTTGTTGCTGATCTTGATGTTTTGAGACTGGTTTTTTTTGTTGTTGTTGTTGTTTCGAGACAGGGTTTCTCTGTGGCTTTGGAGGCTGTCCTGGAACTCACTTTGTAGACCAGGCTGGCCTTGAACTCACAGAGATCCGCCTGCCTCTGCCTCCCGAGTGCTGGGATTAAAGGCGTGCACCACCAACACCCGGCGAGACAGGTTTTCTTTTTTTCTTTTTTTTCGAGACCGGGTTTCTCTGTGGCTTTGGAGCATATCCTGGAACTTGATCTGTAGACCAGGCTGGTCTCGAACTCACAAAGATCCGCCTGTCTCTGCCTCCTGAGTGCTGGGATTAAAGACGTGCACCACCAATGCCTGGCAAGTTTTCTTTGTGTAGCCCTGGCTGTCCTAGAACCTGCTCTATACCCCAGACTGGCCTCAAACTCAAAAATCTGCTTACCCCTACCCCCTGAGTGCTGGGACTAAAGGATAGGTCACTAAGCAGCCTTAAGTCTTAAGGGACCTCATGTGTGTTATGAGTTTGACTGTGAGGTCCAGCAAAAGTTCAGTTTTGGGTGTCAAGAGATAATTTTGGGACTGGAGAGATGGCTCAGAGGTTAGAGCACTGGCTGCTATTCCAGAGGACCTGAGTTCAATTCCCGGCAACCACATAGTGACTTACAACCATCTTTAATGAGATCTGGGGCCTTCTTCTGCTCTGCAGGAAGAACACTGTATACATAATAAATAAATCTTTTTAAAAAAGAGATGATTTCATAAAATTATACCACCACAGACTACAAAGCATTGATCCTCCTCCTCGAAAGTGTTGGGGTGACATACCAGCCCTCCCCCTACCTGGTTTATAGGATGCTGAGCAGGAACCCAGGGCTTTGAGCTTGTAAGGCTACTGAGCCCCAGCCTCAGCCGTTTGATACTTTCTATCCAGTCAAAAACTGAGGAGGGACTGGAGAGACGGCTCACTGGTCTGGAGTACTGAGTTCCTATTACCTTCATTAGGCAGCTAATACCAGCTGTCACTCCAGCCCCAAGGGATCTGACTCTCCTTGGTCTCCGATGGCATCTGCACTCACCCACACATAGACATACATATATAGTTAGAAACTAAAAGTAAATACTTTAAAAAATATCTGTATCAGTCTAAAGAGACGGCTCAGAGGTTAAGAGCACTGGCTGCTCTTCCAGAGGACCTGAGTTCAATTCCCAGCAACCACATGGTGGTCCACAACCATCTATAATGGGATCTGATGTCCTCTTCTGGCCTACAGGGACACATGCACACTCACACACATAAAACACATAAATAAATCCTTAAAAAGTACATCTATGGCCAGGCGTTGGTGGTGCACGCCTTTAATCCCAGCACTCGGGAGGCAGAGGCAGGCGGATCTCTGTGAGTTCGAGGCCGGGCTGGTCTACAAAGCACGTTCCAGGACAGCCTCCAAAGCCACAGAGAAACCCTGTCTCGAAAAAAAGAAAGGTACATTTATATCCCAGAAAATGTGGGGCTGAGGGAGCAGGGAGATATGGACAACAGAATTGGGTCTCTAGTGTGATCGGTGTCCCCCCCCTGTCTTCTCCAAAGACAGCTGTTGTCCTTGACCCTCTGCTATGCTGTAGTATTCCGACAGCAGGAGATCTGCCTTCCTGAGCTTGACGAGTGATGTAGATTATATTCAGGGCTAAATGCTAGACACTGCGTTGTCTCAAATGACAAGTGTGTTCTTGTCACAGGAATTCATTCACTTGCACTATTTCTTGCTTGCTCCACAGGACAGATTTAACGGAACATTAGGAGGCATTTTCTACTTCCACTCCATGTCTCAGGTGGGGGTCCTCGAGGTTATAAAAGATCTGGTGAGTACCACACAGTGTGCAGAGGCTGACCACAGAGGCTTGGGAGCAGTCCCGGGACCTGCAGCTCCTGCTGTTACCGTTAGCTCTTTTGGATTTTTGTTTGTTTACTTCCTTAGTTTGAGATAGGGTCTCACATAGCCAAGATTGTCCTTGAATTTCTCATCCGTCTGTCTCCATTTCCCAAATGATGGGAGGACATGGCATGCTAGGCAGCTAGTCTGCTCTCTGTATCTGAGATACACGAATCTTTCTGTTCATCTGCCCATTCGGGGAACACCTCTGCATCAAGTCATCCTACGAGCTAGCCACCCACCCACCCAAAGAATCATCCATCCACCCATCTTAGCCGGGTTTCTGTCGCTGTGAAGAGACACCATGACCTTGGCAACTCTTATAAAGGGAAACATTTACTTGGGGCTGGCTTATAGTTTCAGAGGCTTAGTCCATTGTGGTCATGGTGTCACACAGGCAGACATGGTGCTGAAGCAGGAGCGAGTCCTACAACTTGATCTGCAGTCAGGAGAAGTGAATTGTGAGCCGCCAGGCAGGCTTGAGCTTCCAAGACCACAAACCCCATCCTCTAGTGACATGGTTCCTCCAACAAGGCACACCTCCTCCAGAAAGGCCACAGCTCCTAACAGTTCCATGGACCTATGTGGGCCATTTTTAAAAAATGATTATTTTTACTTTATTTTATGTGTGTTGGTATTTTTGTGCATGTGTGTCTGTATGAGGGTGCTCTCAACTGCTGAGCCGTCTCTCCTTCCCCCAGGGAGCCAGTTTTATTCAAACCACCACACCACCCACCCATACATCCAACTATGGATACACCCATCTAAGGATCCATGTGCCCATCCGTCCACCCGTCCACCCATCCATCCATCCACCCATCCATCCATCCATCCACACACCCATCCATCCATCCATCCACCCATCCATCCATCCACCCATTCATCCACACATCCATCCATCCACCCATCCATCCATCCATCCATCCATCCACCCACCCATCCATCCATCCACCCATCCATCCACACATCCATCCATCCACCCGTCCATCCATCCACCCACCCATCCATCCATCCATCCATCCATCCACCCATCCATCCACCCATCCATCCATCCACCCATCCACACATCCATCCATCCACACACCCATCCATCCATCCACCCATCCATCCATCCATCCACACACCCATCCATCCATCCATCCACCCATCCACACATCCATCCATCCACACACCCACCCATCCACCCATCCATCCATCCACCCATCCATCCACCCATCCATCCACCCATCCATCCACACATCCATCCACCCATCCATTCATCCACCAACCTACACCTCTGCAGGGCTTTTTCTTTTTTTTTTTTTTTTTTTTTGGTTTTTCGAGACAGGGTTTCTCTGTGGCTTTGGAGGCTGTCCTGGAACTCGCTCTGTAGACCAGGCTGGCCTCGAACTCACAGAGATCCGCCTGCCTCTGCCTCCCGAGTGCTGGGATTAAAGGCGTGCGCCACCAACGCGCGGCCTCTGCAGGGCTTTGTTGCTGGTCCATACCCTCAGAAAAATCAGAAATTTGAAGGTGATTTTCTGCCCCCTAGGTCTCTACTGAGTACTTTTCCTCACCCCATGATCAGCCCTTGGTCTGTGGGTCTGTAAAACTGTATGTGGTCTACCTTTAGGGCTCCCTCCACACAGGGTGGTCATGCAGTTAACACTGGGGCAGCTCCGTGAGGTCATAAGCCAATGGGTCAGGAGTGCTTTGGCTTGCAGATCATCTCTCTGCAGTCAGCTCTGCCTGGGCATGTTGACAGGGAGGGCTACGGGTCCCACACAGCGTCTCTGCAGGCCTTGCAGAGGGAATCAGCTCCTGTGTGCAAAGCGTGGAGCAGGAGGGTGCCCACGCCAGGACAGGGTGCACAGTCAGTCTCCTCATGCTTTGTGGGTCCCAGCACCCCAAGTTCCAGGCTTCTACAACCCAGGTACTGTCTCTTCATGGAGCAAGCATGCTCAGAGTCAGTGCAGGCTTGCTGGGCAGAGGGATTCCCGCTCCTCCTCATGCAGTGTCTTCTAGAAAAGGGACACGGGTGCCACATAGAGAATCGCAAGTCAGCAGAGGTCTTTAAACTCTAACCTTGGGCTCAGTCAGCAAAATGCTCAACGTGTAAGCATGAAGACCCAAGTTGCATCTGCCGGAACCCACATAAAAAGCCAAGTGTGGCTGTTAGAAATTAAGAAAAGCAGCTCTCTAGAGAAAGATGCCATGTGACAGGGCTCAAGCAGAGGGTTTTTCTTTTAATTAGGGAAAGGGATCATAAAAGGGGGAAAGGGAAGCAGGGAGACCAGCCTCCAGAGACAGGGGCAGCTGGAGACAGGAGAGAAAAGAGAGGGAAACAGACAGACAGAGAGAGGGAGAGAAAGAGAGAGAAAGAAAGCGAGAGAAGGATGGGAGGTGGGCAGGGCTCTTTTTAAAGGGAGCAGGGTGATTATGCACAAGGGGCTCTTAGAGGCTGCAGCTGAGGGCGCATCCTGTCAGAACCCCAAGGACAAGTCAGTACAGATGCCCAAATGCTAACAGTACGGCTTGCACTGGACACGCCAGAGCATGGGATGTGGAGGCAGGGGGATCCCCAGGGCCTTTCAACCATCAGCCTAGTCTATTTGAAGAATTCCATGCCAGTGAGAGACTCTGTCTAAAAGAGAACAAGGTAGGAAACATGGCAGCACACACATCTGGAGGCAGAGGCAGACATAGGTGAGTTCAAGACCAGCCTGATGTTCCCAGCAGCCATGTTGAGCTGCTCACAGCCATCTGTAGCTCTGCACTGTCTTCTGTCTACCTGGTCTCTTAGACAGGCAGACATGCGTGAAAGACACTCACACAGACATAAAGGTTCACATGGAAATGAAAATAACTCACCCCTGGGGCATGACCTCAGCAGTCCCTCACGCAGAGCAGTCAGCTTAGAGACTTAGTTAGGGCAGGAGCATGGAGGGCGCAGCTGCTGGCTCCTTCCTGCCCACCTACCTAGGGAATGGTGCTGCCCGCAGTGGCTGACCTGATCAACGCTCTCCCAAGTTCACACCCAGAGGTCAAGTGCTCTCTCCCAGGGGTGTCTGAGGCTTGCGTCCTCCCAACTAACCATCAGGGGCTGGAGAGGTGGCTCAGCCTTGAAGAAGACCTAATTCAGTTCTCAGCATCTATACTATGTGACCTTCAACTGCAGCTCCAGGGGACCCGGAGCATTTGGCCTCTGTGGACAACCTCTCTGTCTGTCTGTCTCTCTTTCTCTCTCTCTCTCACTCAAACACACACACACACACACCAGTAATTTAACTTTCTTTTTTTTTTTTCGAGACAGGGTTTCTCTGTGGCTTTGGAGGCTGACCTGGAACTCGCTCTGTAGACCAGGCTGGTCTCAAGCTCACAGAAATCCTCCTGCCTCTGCCTCCCAAGTGCTGGGACTAAAGGCATGCACCCCGTAGGACACACTTTCTGGGGCATCCTGGGAAGGACTAGGGATTGGGCAATGTCCTTGGCCTCTCCCAACACTGTCCCTGGAGCATGCCAGTGCTCTCCCTGATTTAAGAAATCGCTGTCTTAGTACCACTTCAGGGTGACTGAATGGGCAGGGCTGTCCCAGTGGATTTCCCCGAGTGACTTGGTTGCCTCTCTTACCTCAGGGTATGTTTCATTACTTGGAGCACCCCCTGAACAACAGTGCAGGGATACCCTTTGAGTACAAGGAACCTCTTGACGTCATCATCAAGACAGGCCACAGGGGATTCCTGATCCTCTGGAGTCAGCTAAGCCTGTTGGTGTCCCCCAATGCAGGTGAGCGACACTTTATCCGGGCCTCCACCAGCGGGCATGGGTTTAGACTCGGTGTCGCGTCTGCTGCGCGGCCTGTGTCCCAGAACGTGCGGAGGGTGTTGGGGATTGACAACATAGAGACTTGTTCAACGGTGTAAAGAAAACTTTAAACAGGCTCCAAAAAGGTTCAAGAAAACTTCCTAAGAAAGGCTCCCACCAGAGAAGCTTCTGCTCTCTCCTCTCCCCTGGCTGGTTCTTCTCTCTGACCCCAGAAACTGATCTGGGCATGGCAGAAGAGGTGGTTAGTCTTTGGACAAGGTCGAGGTCAGGGTGGTTTCTGCGGGCAGGCCTTTTCCAGGAACTTAATGCCCCCAGGCATTGTATTGTTTTTAGTAAACATGTTTTTAGTAAAGATTGTCTTACAGCTGACTACTCCCAGGCAGAAGGGGAAGTGGGTCTCTGCTCAAGGTCTGGTGTTCCCACAATTCACCCCTTTTTATTTTTAAATGAGGCACTCCTGGCTTAGGTCAAGTAGGGTCACCCTCCCTTTCCCGTCTTTCCCTTGAACCCCTGTCTTAGGCGGGAGGGGTCTTCCCCACAAGTTGCCCGTCATCAGAGCACCCCAACTTTAAATCATCTGTAACCAACCTTCATGGCTATCGGGATTGCCATGGGCTAGGCTAAGCAATACTTGGTTACGGATCTCTTGCCTCTGGAACAAGGCACGTTTGAGCTCGGCATAAAGCCAGAATACCTACCGCCACTGCCACCATTTCCAGGACCCCCATTGACATAGCGCCTCTCCATCACCGTACCCATCACCAGATCTGGGCCATAACATTCTACCAGCCTTCATCTGTTACAAGGGTAACATGTACGTGATTTACATTCTGTTACAAGGGTAACCCGCATGTGACTTAGATTTACAATTTGATAAAGTTACAATTGTTCCAAGATCTGCTCAGAAAGCATTTAGAAAGTGCACTTGCACAGATACATTAGGTACAATCATTGATGTTACACATGTAGCATTATAAAAAATATGAACAATAGGCTTGTTGCACTATCCACAGAGCACCAATTTGTTCCTGTGGTGATGCAGTTTGTTGATTTAACGTCAGCTGATTATGCGACTTGAGTCAAAGTCTCCTTTTTGTCGCATTAGGACAAGTTGCACCTCTCTAGAAAAATACACTGGCCTAGTCGTGATTCCAGAAACAGGAACCATCAAGTCTGATATTTCAAGTGACCATGTCCTGTTCAATTACTGAAAAGAGGCTTTTGCCCCTCATCACAGTCCATACGAATGTCCAAATGTTTTAAATGGGTCCTTTTTTCTCTATTGGCTTCACGATGAAAACTCATGGGTCCGGAAGGTTGATGCAGCAGGTCTGTTGAGAAACTGGAAATCTCGAACCGACTGTTTTCTTTCTTTCTTGGGCTCTAGATTCGATGACAGCAAGGGTCAGGAACACTGATTTAGGAGATCTCACTCAAACTGGCTTAGGTAGGCTCCCATGGTCTCAGGTCCAGTTTTTCTCTGCTCCATGCCGAAGCTTTTATTCTTTTCCTACAAGAAAACACAAACATGCCCTCGACCCCAAATTAGGGTCTTCTCCACTGTTTAGTGCATGGATGTCTCCATTTGACCTGAGCAATGGTTGCTCAAGTTCCATCATGCCAGAATCTGTCTGAAGCTCACTGGCATTCACATTATAAAATTTTTAAATGAGGAGTGTATTATTTGATGAGTCATATGGGGACTGGGGACATTATTCCCCCTTTTTTATTTTCTAAAAAATTTTTTTTGAACTGTTGAAGCTGGACCATAATAGTAGAAGGATTTGTCTACCCTCCTTGGTTGACTATCTAGGTAAATTGGGATTACTACTTAGATTATTTGTAGATGTCCATTAAAAAGGACATATCCATTAAATGTTTCCCAAAAACTTCTGAAAATCACTCAAAGATTGTAAACTATACTGTGTCCAAATAACTTTTGAAAATTATTTGAAGTCTGTGAGCAGTCTTTCCCAATCTAACCTGTAGAGCTCTCACTAGCTGACAAGGCCTCATTTGTATCTTAAATTTTTCTGTAAAAACATTAACAGACTGGCTGGATGTTCCTTTTGTCTATATTTAAAGCAATCTAGGTAGCTTCTTAACTATTTTTGAAGGGATTTAAGTATCCTTTTAATCATATAAGCAGTTCACACTCATGCATTCACAATCACATTTCATACATACCGGTGTGGCCACACCATATATTCAGAACATACATGTATCTTTCAGTCATCCTTTTTCCCTAGGTCATGATTAGTCTGTTGCAATGAAGCTTCCTTAATTGAAATCTATGTAAAAGAACAACTCCAGCCAATCCTTGAACTATAAGGGTTAAAAAGTCCTGTATGTTCTTTATCATTCCTCCATTTGAGCTACAGTCATGGGGTACAGCTGTACCTACTCCTTGTAACTCTGTAGATGCGAGGTGGAGAGGCCAGGCTTTTGGCCAAAAGTTTTTAGAGATGACTCACAAAATATAACTTAAATGTAAACAAAATTTTCCATTCCATATACCTTTCTCTTTTTCTTTTTCTTTACTTAATACCAGTACCTCTTTACTGTTAAATTTTTTTTTCACCCATTTTTTTTTTTAAGTCAGGGTTTCTCTGTATTGTTTGAGGCTGTCAGTCCAGCCTGGCCTCGAACTCACAGAGATACGCCTGCCTCTGCCTCCCAAGTGCTGGGATTAAAGGCGTGTGCCACCACCGCCCAGCTTGTTACTAATTTTTTTTTCTGTATTATTTGGAGGCTGTCTTGGAACTTGCTCTGTAAATCAGGCTGGCCTTGAACTCAAGAGATCTGCCTGCCTGTGTCTCCCGAGTACTGGGATTAAAGGCGTGTGCTGCCAACGCCCGGCTATTCACTCATTTTTAATCCATTCTTCAACCCAGGATATTCCCTCATGCAAAAAGCCTTAAGATTTACAGAATCCACCCTCCAATTGAGGGCAATCTCTGGGTTCCCCTTTTTTTCCTGACCTTTGTCAGGCGAAGGCCTGGAGATTTAATCTAATCCACCCCCCATCTGAGGGCAATCTCTCAGGGTCCCCTTACTTTCCTGACCTTTGTCAGGCGAAGGCCTGGAGATTTAATTCGGTACCCCTAGCTTGGTACCCCTTTTTAACACATCCACATAGCCTTACTGGCTAGCCTTTTAGATCTCTCAGTTCCCCTTTACTTTCCTGACCTCAGTGGATCAGGCGAAAGACTGGAGATTTTTTTTATTTCTTATTTTACCCTTTTTTATTTCTTTTTCTTTTTTATTTTCTTTTCTTTTCTTTTTTTTTTTTTTTGAGACTGGGTTTCTCTCTATCCTTTTGGAGGCTGTCCTGGAACTTGCTCTATAGACCAGGATGGCCTCATTCCTTCCTATCTCTGCCTCCCGAGTGTTGGGATTAAAGGCGTATGCCACCAACACCCGGCTCTCTGAATGTCATAGCAAACATCCTCCCAATCTGGGACATTTAAGCCTTCCCCAGTAATGAACCATGGGCTCCCTCGTTCAATCCATTTTAAAAAGCCTGCCATGGTTGTAGTCCCCTGTTCTTCAAGCAACTTTTTTACGTGATACTGTAATTTAAACTTCCAGGGACTATTTCCCATTGTTTCTTTTCCTATTTTCCTCCATCTGTCCCTAGCTGGCAAAAGGGACGACCCCATCCACTTACCTCACTTTCATGATCTCGGTAGGACCTCCAATTGTCGCGTCTGCTGCGGGGCCTGTGTCCGAGAACGTGCGGAGGGTGTCGGGGATTGACAACACAGAGACTTGTTCAACGGTGTAAAGAAAACTTTAAGCAGGCCCCAAAAAGGTTCAAGAAAACTTCCTAAGAAAGGCTCCCACCAGAGAAGCTTCTGCTCTCTCCTCTACCCTGGCTGGTTCTGCTCTGACCCCAGAAACTGATCTGGGCGTGGCAGAAGAGGTGGTTAGTCTCTGGACAAGGTCGAGCTCAGGGTGGTTTCTGCGGGCAGGCCTTTCCCAGGAACTTATTGCCCCCGGGCATTGTATTGTTTTTAGTAAACATGTTTTTAGTAAACATTGTCTTACAGCTGCCTACTCCCAGGCAGAAGGGGAAGTGGGTCTCTGCTCAAGGTCTGGTGTTCCCACAACTCGGGATGCTAGATCTTTCTTTCTTTCTTTTTCGAGACAGGGTCTCTCTGTGTGGCTTTGGAGCCTTGCCTGGCACTCCCTCTGTAGACCAGGCTGGACTCAGAGTCACAGAGATCCGCCTGCCTCTGCCTCCTGAGTGCTGGGATCCTAGATCTTTGTGTATGGTTGTGTGCACATGGAGAACAGAGGCCAGAGGCTCAATTGTTTTCTTTTACACTTTTTAAAAAAATATTCATTTCATCCAGCCTGGGATTGATCAGCAAGTCCCAGGGATCCTGCTGATCTGCCTTCCTATTGCTAGGGTTACAAGCTGGGCCAGACTTAGAGAGGAAGTGGAGAGGTAGGTGCTGAAGGTCTGAAGGCAGGCCTCAACTGGGGGATTCTAGGCGGGGCTCCACGCTGACCACGCCCTCAGCCCCTCACTGGCGGATTCTAGGCGGGGCTCCACACCCTCAGCCCCTCACTGGGGGATTCTAGGCGGGGCTCCACACCCTCAGCCCCTCACTGGGGGATTCTAGGCGGGGCTCCACACCCTCAGCCCCTCACTGGGGGATTCTAGGCGGGCCTCTGCTCATGACTACCATACCCCCACCCCACCCCCACCTTCCCACACCACCTCTCAGTTAATTTGATGTAGAATCTAAGTTGACCATGCTAGCCTTGAGGTCAATCTGTATCCCAGGTTTTAGTTTCGTTTCCTTGACATCACACACACACACACACACACACACAGAGAGAGAGAGAGAGAGAGAGAGAGAGAGAGAGAGAGAGAGAGAGAGAGAGAGAGAGCTCAACACCACCTTGCTGACTGGTTATCAGTCTTGAGACAGTTTTATTTAGTCTGTGACTTCCCTCCCTGAACATCCCCTCCTTACTGGGTCACTTTTCAGAGCTTCGTTACCAAAGAGACTTGGAAGGGTCGCCTTTACCCAGGTGTCTGCAGAGTTTCTTTCCTTGGGCTTTTGAATAGCAAACCAAAGACAACCCAGTGAAGGGCCTGGAGAGATGGCTCAGGGGTAAGAGCACTGACTGCTTCCAGAGGTTCTGAGTTCAATTCCCAGCAGCCACATGGTGGCTCACAACCATCTACAATTCAATCTGGTGCCCTCTTCTGGCATGTAGGCAGAACGCCGTATATGTAATAACAAAAAAAAAAAAAAAAAAAAAAAGAACCCAGTGAATGCAGAGGAGAGGCGTGCGTGTGAGCTGTGCAGAGAGGCCCCGTCCTGCGGCATGGTACACGCACGTGCGAGGGTCGTCACCGTCTCCCTGCCCCCTCCTAGGCCAGATCATAGACACCGTGCAGCTGTGGAAAGGGCGGAAACGGCTCACCTCGGATATCTGCACCAATGGCATCACCATCCACAGCATTGCTTCGAGTATGTGGCCCGCTTGCCCTGGCTAGCTTCACTTCCGCCTCCTGTCCCCACCTGTGACTGAGTCAGGCTCCCGCCTACTCCTCAGCTCGGCTGTGATTGGCTTGCGACCCCTGGGTGGGCTTACAGTGAGGGATGACCGATTTTTGTCTTTTCTTGTTTGTTTTTTACTCTGCTTACTTCTGGCAGCTGTGGGTGTGAGGATGTTTGCCTGTGTGCCTGGGTGAGTGTGTGAAGGTCAGAGGATCACTGTGGGGGTCCCAGGAATCAAACTTAGGTCTTCAGGCTTGGCAGCAAGCACCTCTACCTGCTGAGCCCTTCCACTGGCCCCTTTGTTTGGCACCTTTCCGGGGAAGCTGACCTCATTCCGCTTTTGCTTTCCTGGGAAGCTGACCTCATTCCTCTTTTGCTTTCCGGGGAAGCTGACTTCATTCCGCTTTTGCTTTCTCTTTCCCAGATATGTATGAGCTGGCGCTGCTGACAGAGGAAAGGAATCTGTATTATGGGAGTCAGGGTTACCTGGGAACCTCCCTAGTCCAGGTGTGTCCGAGTCCTCAGGCAACAGCTTCGATGGGGACCTTCCTTCTTAGGCCCCTGCCTAAGCATCATGCTAGTGAAATGTCATTTTATTTTGAGGCAAGGCCTCATGTAGCCAAGGCTGAACTTGAACTCCTTTTATAGCCAAGGGTACGGGTGGAGTCCGGGTCCTTGCAGAGTGTTCCAATGGCAGGCAGGCACCACCATGCCCAGTTTTGGGGGATTCTGCACACAGAATCCAGGGCTATGCGAGGCAGGCACTCTACCCACTGAGGCCCACCCTACACAGTTATCTTTACAAGCAAGTTAATCAGGATCAGGTCCCAGGTTCAAAGCCCCAGAGCCACAAAACAGAACAAAGAAAAACAGTGAAATATACATAAGAAGCCACTGGCTTGTCGTTCCCGAGACAGCGGGTGCTTGCTGGGGCTGAGGCTCCATCTCAATCAGAATTATATTCCTACACACATAGCAACCCGGCCTGATTGGAGGGCCGAAGAGCCTGAGGTGGGGGTGGGGGAATCACAGCGGCCCCGCCCCCAACCCTGAAAACCTGAGTTCGATCCCTGGGCCCTATGTGGTGGAGGCAGAGAATTGCCTCCCACCGAGTTGTCTTCCGACCTCCGCCATGTGTGCACTCCCACAATAAATAAATATAATAGCTGGGCGTTGGTGGCGCACGCCTTTAATCCCAGCACTCGGGAGGCAGAGGCAGGCGGATCACTGTGAGTTCGAGACCAGCCTGGTCTACTGAGCGAGTTCCAGGACAGCCTCCAAAGCCACAGAGAAACCCTGTCTCGAAAAACCAAAAAAAAAAAAAAAAATATATATATATATATACATATACATATGTATATATATATATATATAATAGTGTTTTTTCGTTTAGAGCAGTAGGCTGTGCATGCTATGCTGAGTCTCTGTGCCACCCCCAGCTCTGGGGAGGGATGGCTGTGGTGGTGAGGCCAGCTGGGGCTACCGAGGAAGACCTTGTAGAAAGAAACAAAATGAAAAGAAGAAAAGAAGGAGGGTGAGGGTTGGGCCTCAGACCTGGGTTTTCCCGTAGCTGTCGAAGATGTCTCTACAGACTGAGGACACGAGCATCTCATTTACGGACACTGGCATGCTGGAGATCCTCACGGTGGTGGCTGACCCGCAGTTCCCCTCGTTTGACTTTCAGAAGTGCGTTGTGAACGTGCAGACTGTTCTCATGAACCCCAGCTTTGACATTGAAGAGTGCAATGTAGGTGACCCCCGTGATCTAAGTCAATTCCTGATGATTTGTGGTTATTTATTTCCGGCGTGGGTAGCTGGTGGCACTCGGGATGCTACCTAGGGCCTCATACAGTGGAGGAGAGTCACATTCCAGCAAGCCACTCTCTGCGCCCACCTCTGCTTTCAGAATGGGGGCGGCTGAAGGAAAAACCTGGAGTGAGGTAGAAGCAGAGGACTGTCATTCTAGTGCCTTGGGAGGTTGCAGTAAAAGGATTTCAAATTCCACTCACGCCCGTGCAACTCAGCAAGACTTCCGTGTTAAAAGAGAAAAACGGAATGGGGCTGGGGGCGTGGTCAGGGTGGAGCCCCACCTACCGTCCTCCAGTGAGGGGCGGGGGCATCTGCATAGCAAATACCAGGGTACAGGTTCAGTTCCTGATATTGCAAGAAACAGGTAAAGTGAAAGAAAGCATTCTGGAAGAACTCAGTTCCTGGAGCCGGGCAGTGGGAATGCTTGTCTACATCAGGTGCTCCAGGGATGCCATCTAGCTGTGGCTCTCTCTCAGTGTGAGGATAAGGTGCAGCCTCACCCACTTGTGCCTTACTTCTGGAGTCAGGACAGGAACGGTCTCTACTCGCTCCCCGCCACTTTCCCCAGGTGGAGCTCCTGGAAAGCAGCATGATAAATCAGATGTTCACCATAGACATGAACAGCAAGCTGGACCTGTCTGCACTCATGATACCTCGGCCAGGCAAGACTCCCATACCACTGGTGAGTGTAGACCCAGCCTGCAAACTCCAGCCTGGACCACAGAAGGACACACTGGGCTGACCCAGAGGCTCCATAATCCACGGTGCTGCCAGCCCACAACCCCGGAAGTTCATCCAAACTTCCTGTCTTCTTTCTTTGCCCCCTCCACATCATTCTTCCCATTCCTCTTCCTCCTTTTCTCCCTCGTCCTTCCTTACCCATTGTGCATATCCTCCCCTATCTTATCCTTCCCCATCTCCTCCCCATCTTCTCCTTCTCTATCTCCTTCTCCATCTCCTCCCCATCTTCTCCTCCATCTCCTCCTCCATCTCCTCCTCCATCTCCACCCCATCTCCTCCTCCTCCATCTCCTCCATCTCCTCTTCCTCCATCTCCTCTTCCTCCATCTCCTCCATCTCCTCCCCATCTCCTCCTCCATCTCCTCCCCCATCTCCTCCTCCATCTCCTCCTCCATCTCCACCCCATCTCCTCCTCCTCCATCTCCTCCATCTCCTCTTCCTCCATCTCCTCTTCCTCCATCTCCTCCATCTCCTCTTCCTCCATCTCCTCTTCCTCCATCTCCTCCATCTCCTCCCCATCTCCTCCTCCATCTCCACCCCATCTCCTCCTCCTCCATCTCCTCCATCTCCTCTTCCTCCATCTCCTCTTCCTCCATCTCCTCCATCTCCTACCCATCTCCTCCTCCATCTCCACCCCATCTCCTCCTCCTCCATCTCCTCCTCCATCTCCCCCATCTCCTCTTCCTCCATCTCCTCTTCCTCCATCTCCTCCTCCATCTCCTCCTCCTCCATCTCCTCCTCCATCTCCTCCCCCATCTCCTCCCTCACCTCCTCCTCCATCTCCTCCTCCATCTCCTCCTCCTCCATCTCCTCCTCCATCTCCTCCCCCATCTCCTCCATCTTCCCCTCCATCTCCCCCTTCATCTTCCCCTCCATCTCCTCCTCCATCTCTCTTTTTATCTTCCCCCACCCAGGGTTTTTCCAACAAGCCCCCACTCTCCCTCTTGTCCATGCCATCCTGCTGTGTCTCTTGGCTCAGTGGCCTTGGGCTCTAAGGCTGGCAGATACTCCAGGTGGGCACGCTGCACCCCAGGGGCCTGTGTGCAGAAGCAGCTTGGCTGTGCTGAGGATGGACAGGGTGACAGCTGTCTGTGTGTTATGTCTCAGGTGATGGTCAGCAACCCCCATTCCCTCGGGTTTGAGGCACACATCATTGAGTTTGGCAACACGTTCGATGGCAACTATAAGTACAAACTGGTATGTATCTATGGCCATGTTAGAGGCCTTTACCAAGACCCAATAACATTGTTGTTTGTTTGCTTGTTTTGTTTTGTGTTAATGAGACATGGCGTCCCTCTGTAGGCCAGGGCAGCCATGGAATACGTTATCCCACCATGGCGGTGGTGGGAATGTGCCGCTGTACCTGGCCCTCCATGCAGCATCTCCTTTGTGCTCTGAAGGGATCGGCCTTCCTCCTCCCTTCCTGCACAGCCCTGACTCATCTGCCCTGAGTAAGACAGGCAGCTGCCACCCACACATTCCCTGTCACACAGGAGAGGCTGAGGTGCGCCAGTCACAGGATGGATGAGAGCCGAGTTGTCTGGGAGGACCTCGGTAGAGGGCTGGGTTCCAGCCAGGGACCAGGTGGGGGTCCCGTTGTTCTCCTTACATCTGTCAGCCTCGGGTTCATGACAGGACTTTCCTGTGGTGCCTAGAAACACATGGTTAGTCTATACGATGTCACCTTAGCAGCCAAATCCACACTTCGGCAACTCCTTGGGACATTAAATGTTAGTGAGCTTGTGGGGGACGGTAAGGATTGGTGTCACAAGGACCATGAACCTCTCAGCTCTGGGAACTTGCAGAAAGCTTTCCTATGACATAGAAATGGGACATAGCGGGGCTGGACAGCAAGGACGAGGTCCCCCAGTGCCCATTAGTCACTCTTCTCTTTCTAGCCCGGTCCCATTTGGGGTGACATCTGTGAGGACCCCTGCTGTAACTGTCTGTCTGTCTGTGTGTCTGTCTGCCCCTGCTGCCATTCCACAGGAAATTGAACTCCAACAACAGCACCACTGGGGCATTGCAGACACCAACTTCACCGCCAGGTATCAGATGAGGTCTTGGGGCTTGACGCTACTCCCCACTGCTATCTACAGGGATCCCCAGAGCCACAGTGGGGAAAGTAGGGCTGAGTTGCTACCTCCAGAGCACTGTGAGAAAATTAGTCTAAAGTCTCACCCAGGGAGCATGCAGCTCTGGGTTCCAGGCCCAGCACCTCAGGTCCTGAGTGCAGCAGCACGTGACTGTGATCTCAGCTCTGGGAAAGTGGGAGCAGGAAAGTCAAGAGTTCGAAGTCAGCCTCAGCTATTGTATAGGGAGTTAGGGAGTCTGAAGCCAGCCTGGGTGATGGGTGTGTGTGCCTCGTGTCTGTGTCTGTGTAGTGTCCTAGCCTGTTTTCTGATGCTGTAAGCACCATGACAAAGGGAACTTGGAGAGGAAAGGGTTTATTTGGCTTACAAGGGCCAATCACAGCATCTCCGAGGGAAGTCGAGGAAGGAACTGATGCAGAGGCCGTGGAGGAGTGCAGCTTCCTGGCTACTCCTGGTGGCTCAGCCTGCTTTTTGTTTTGTTTCGTTTTTTGCTTCTGTTTGGGTTTCTTTTTTTATTTTGTTTTTCTGAGACAACTTCTCTGTGTAACAGCCCCGGCTGTCGTGGAACTCACTCAGTAGACCAGGCTGGCTTTGAACTCACAGAGATCCACCTGTCTGCCTCCCGAGTGCTGGGGTTTAAGGCGTGCGCCACCATGGCTGAGCACTCAGCCTGCTTTCTTATAATTTTGGTTGTGAACCAAGCCTGACGGCTGAGCTCCAGCCTAGATGCTTTCTCATACAACCCAGGACCTCCCTGCGCCGGGGTGGTACCACTGTCTGCCGGGGCTTCCCTCATCAGCCCCTAGCCAAGTCAATGCCACACACGCCAACCTGATGGGGCAAAATCTCAGTTGAAGTTTCCTCATTGTGGCTGTGCCAACCAAGAGTAGCCATGACAGACACCGGCAGGTGGATGGGCAGAGGGTGGACGGCAGAGGTTGGGCAGGTCCTGGTGTGTGCAGATGGATGGATGGCAGAGGTTGGGCAGGTCCTGGTGTGTGCGGATGGACGGATGGACGGCAGAGGTTGGGCAGGTCCTGGTGTGTGCGGATGGACGGATGGATGGCAGAGGTTGGGCAGGTCCTGGTGTGTGCAGATGGATGGCAGAGGTTGGGCAGGTCCTGGTGTATGCAGATGGATGGTTGGCAGAGGTTGGGCAGGTCCTGGTGTGTGCAGATGGATGGCAGAGGTTGGGTAGGTCCTGGTGTGTGCAGATGGATGGCAGAGGTTGGACAGGTCCTGGTGTGTGCGGATGGACGGATGGATGGCAGAGGTTGGGCAGGTCCTGGTGTGTGGGGATGGACGGCAGAGGTTGGACAGGTCCTGGTGTATGCAGATGGATGGCAGAGGTTGGACAGGTCCTGGTGTGTGCGGATGGACGGATGGACGGCAGAGGTTGGGCAGGTCCTGGTGTATGCAGATGGATGGTTGGCAGAGGTTGGGCAGGTCCTGGTGTGTGCGGATGGACGGCAGAGGTTGGACAGGTCCTGGTGTATGCAGATGGATGGCAGAGGTTGGACAGGTCCTGGTGTGTGCGGATGGACGGATGGATGGCAGAGGTTGGGCAGGTCCTGGTGTGTGCAGATGGATGGCAGAGGTTGGACAGGTCCTGGTGTATGCAGATGGATGGTTGGCAGAGGTTGGGCAGGTCCTGGTGTGTGTGGATGGACGGCAGAGGTTGGGCAGGTCCTGGTGTGTGCGGATGGACGGCAGAGGTTGGGCAGGTCCTGGTGTGTGCGGATGGACGGATGGATGGCAGAGGTTGGGCAGGTCCTGGTGTGTGCAGATGGATGGCAGAGGTTGGACAGGTCCTGGTGTATGCAGATGGATGGTTGGCAGAGGTTGGGCAGGTCCTGGTGTGTGTGGATGGACGGCAGAGGTTGGGCAGGTCCTGGTGTGTGCGGATGGACGGCAGAGGTTGGGCAGGTCCTGGTGTGTGCGGATGGACGGCAGAGGTTGGGCAGGTCCTGGTGTGTGCGGATGGACGGCAGAGGTTGGACAGGTCCTGGTGTGTGCAGATGGATGGACGGCAGAGGTTGGGCAGGTCCTGGTGTGTGCAGATGGATGGCAGAGGTTGGACAGGTCCTGGTGTGTGCGGATGGACGGATGGATGGCAGAGGTTGGGCAGGTCCTGGTGTGTGCAGATGGATGGCAGAGGTTGGGCAGGTCCTGGTGTGTGCAGATGGATGGACGGCAGAGGTTGGGCAGGTCCTGGTGTGTGCAGATGGATGGCAGAGGTTGGGCAGGTCCTGGTGTGTGCAGATGGATGGATGGATGGCAGAGGTTGGGCAGGTCCTGGTGTGTGCAGATGGATGGATGGATGGCAGAGGTTGGGCAGGTCCTGGTGTGTGCGGATGGACGGACAGTTGGTGGGAAGGGTGAAAGTTTTGATGGGCACACCAGTGGCCACTGCGACGCAGACTGTTCATCCCTGTTGCATTGTAGCATCAAGCGCAATGCCATCTCCTCCGTAACCGTGGACATAGCCGACAAGACGATTGCGTGCGTGGACCTGAAGCCCCTGGTATGTGCAGATGTTTGCTGCCTCACATCTGTTCACGTGCTGAGTCACAGAAGCCAGTCCCGCCACACTGGACAGGCTCTGGTTTGGAAAGAAAATAACATTGATGTTGTCCTGATTGCTCAGGCCACTGTTGCCTTGGGGAACCCCTCAGAATCCTCCAGGGGAAGTGCTGCTGTTTCTTACTGGGCAGCTGTATAATTATTCCGGCCGATTTGAGGAAATAGAACTTTCAGAGCAGTGGTTCCCAACCTCCCTGATGCTGCACCCCTTTAATAAAGTTCCTCATGTTGCAGTGACCCCCAACCATACAATTATTTTTGTTGCTACTTCATAATTGTAATTTTGCTACTGCTATGATTCATAATATAAATAATCTGTGTTCTCTGGTGGTCTCAGGTGGCCCCTATAAAAGGGTTGTTTGACCCCCATAGGGGTTGCAGCCCATAGATTGAGAACCACTGTTCTGGGTGCTTCCGGAGACTTGAAAATGAAATGCTTGCCTGCAGAAATGTGTGGGGACATGATCTGCCTCTGTGTTATTCACCATGGCCGACGGTGGGAAAAGTGACAAATGGATAGAGAGGATTTGGCCCATCCGTTGGATATGGGATATCAGTCAGCCAGGAAAGGGAATGCAGTTCTTACACACAGTTACAGTGTGTAGGACTGTGTGCTTCTGAGGGGAGGGGATGGATGAAGAGCTGGGTGTTTGCTGGGGACAGAGCTTAGATTTGGGAAGATGAGCTGTGGCCCTGAGAACCACTGTGTGAGGATGAGGCTTGGGGTGTCCCAGATAGCATCCCACAGCAGCGGGGCTGACAGTGGCCCTTGGGGAGTCTGTGACGGCCTCTCCGCTTCTGTTCCTTGCAGTCCACGCTCATCTCAGTTGGCTGTGACCAGACCAAGAAGATTCTTGTGCAGAAGTGAGTGTGACAGCCCCGGGGACAGGAGAGGCAGGGTGGGATGGGCATAATCACGATAGTGAGGTGACACCATCTATCTACTTTTGTGTGCGATTCACAGTTCTGTAGTGGGAATTTGGGGCCTGGAGAGAAGCCTCAGCCATTAGAGAAACCCTGCTCTTGCATGGTGGTTCACAACTGTCGATAGCTCCAGGTCCGGGACCCGACGCCCTCATCTCATTTCTGTGGGCCCCGCACACACAAGGTGCTCAGACAGACGTGCAGGCAAAACTCTTGCCCACAAAAAATAAGTAGACATTCAAACACTGAGATATTAAGTTTAAAAATTTTTTTTTGGTTTTTCGAGACAGGGTTTCTCTGTGGCTTTGGAGCCTGTCCTGGCACTCACTCTTGTAGACCAGGCTGGCCTCCAACTCACAGGGATCCGCCTGCCTCTGCCTCCCGAGTGCTGGGATTAAAGGCGTGTGCCACCAACGCCCGGCTAAGTTTAAATTACATGTTATTAAATGTTAAATCTAAATATCAAAAATCAAAATTCTGCATATAATTGACAGTTCTATTACAAATCAAAACCCTGAAAAACCACAAATTCCTGGAAGCAGCCCATCCCGAGCCAGGAGGTGATTGGTCAGCCACACTCAGAGGTAGCAATGCCGTGCTCTGAAGCCATAGTGTATGTGACTTGAGTTTGTCAGTATGGAGATGCCTTGACCGTTCGTGATGATTCAGTCTTTCTTGTGTTAAAGACTGTTTTTAGTGTGTGTGAGTGTGTGTGTGTGTGTGAGTGTGTATGGGTGAGAGTGTGTGGGTGTGAGTGTGTCTGTGTGTATGAGTGTGTGTGGGTGAGTGTGTGTGGGTGTGAGTGTGTCTGTGTGTATGAGTGTGTGTGGGTGAGTGTGTGTGGGTGTGAGTGTGTCTGTGTGTATGAGTGTGTGTGGGTGAGTGTGTGTGGGTGTGAGTGTGTCTGTGTGTATGAGTGTGGGTGAGTGTGTGTGGGTGAGTGTGTTTGTGTGTGTGAGTGGGTGAGTGTGTGTGGGTGTGTGTGGGGGTGAGTGTGTGTGAGTGTGAGTGTGTCTGTGTGTGTGAGTGGGTGAGTGTGTGTGGGTGAGTGTGTGTGAGTGGGTGAGTGTGTGTGGGTGAGTGTGTGGGTGAGTGCGTGTGGGTGTGAGTGTGTCTGTGTGTATGTGTGGGTGAGTGTGTGTAGGTGTGTGAACGTGAAAGTGGAAGTTCTTTCAGAATCCAGAAGCATCAGATCCCTCAGAGCTGGCATTAAGTTGTGAGCCCCTCCCCCGTGTAAGCCATCTCTGCAGCCACAGGTTTTAATTTACACAGGATTTGGAACCCTCCCTAAGGTCTTTGCAGGCCCCCACCCTCCACAGCTGGGTCTGGGGTCCCACCCTCCTAGCCTGCTGGGTGAAGGGCGCCCCCTTCAGTTCCTGGTGTCCGGTCCCCCTTCAGTTCCTGGTGTCCGGTCCCTCTTCAGTTCCTGGTGTCCGGTCCCCCTTCAGTTCCTGGTGTCCGGTCCCCCTTCAGTTCCTGGTGTCCGGTCCCCCTTCAGTTCCTGGTGTCCGGTCCCTCTTCAGTTCCTGGTGTCCGGTCCCCCTTCAGTTCCTGGTGTCCGGTCCCTCTTCAGTTCCTGGTGTCCGATCCCCCTTCAGTTCCTGGTGTCCGGTCCCTCTTCAGTTCCTGGTGTCCGGTCCCCCTTCAGGTCTGCCCACTTCTCTCCATTACAGCAAAATCTCCGCCTGTTCCATGGGAATCCTCAACCCAGTGGAGTTGCAGGGAAACTACACTTACACCATTGAGAAGTAAGTGGGGTGCTGCCCGCCCCCCAGCCCTCCACACTCTGGGGACGGAGCCCCAGGGAGTGAGGAGGAATGATCTAAAACTGGTGTCTAGCCCAGGGGGACCGTGCAGCCACAGGAGATAGTGGGAAAGCCATCTATTGAGGACGTCCAAGTGCCAGCCTCATTGTCCTCTTGGGGTTCAGGCAGGACGCTAAGGAAGTTAGGAATATTATTAAGGATATCTGCGGTAAAGGATACACATATTCTTCACATTCTGTCTCTTTATGTTTCCAAAATTCTCCCAGATCCCACAAGGATTCCAGTTTATATACCCACACATACACACCTGGCAATTCTCCAGCAGCAACAAGGATACCAGGCATGCATTTCTCAGGACCCAGGAGAGAGGGAAGGCTGGCATAGTGGTCGCCTTGTGACCTTGCTACTGTCTCAGAGCGGGTGAATCCAGAGGCGACTGCTTCCAGCCTCAGGGTAAACAGTGGTGCTCTTACTGCTCATGCCCTGGTGAAAAGAAATTTCCTTTCTCTTTTTGAGAATTCAAGGCACACAGCATAAATTCTATATTTCAAGATCATGCAGCAAAACAAAAAGTCACCCTCCTGACTTTCCAAGATATATGTACCGGGTAGATGGAATATTTTCGTGAGAAACACACACACACACACACACACACACACACACACACACACACACACACACACACAAGCAGTGGGAGTCACCCAAGGCTGTTCTGAGGGGAGAGATGAAGGGACTCCGTGGCCTTGCAGGTGGAGCTCCCTTGTCACTCACATGATGGCTGTCCTGCTGCATTTCTCATGGCCCTTGACAGCCACTCTGTGCCAGGCACTAGAGCCCATCACAAGGCCTCTCCTTTGCTTGATGTGGTCCTTGGAGTCACAGCCAGGCCTCAGCCCCGGCCCTAAGCTGCCCATTAACTTTGCATTGCTATGATAAGACATCATGGCCCAAAAGCCACCGGGGAGTGGAGGAGCTGATGTGGAGGCCGTGGAGGAACGCAGCTTACAGTCTAGCTCCCCATGGTTTGTTTCCTTAAGTAACTCAAGACCCACGGCCCAGGAGCGGCACCATTGGCGGTGAACTGGGCCTCCCACATCAACCATTAACCCAGAAAATACACCATCGTTTTCTCAGCTGAGGTCCCCCTTGACAAAAAGAAAGCAAAGGAAGCCGGGCGTTGGTGGCGCACGCCTTTAATCCCAGCACTCTAGAGGCAGAGGCAGGCGGATCTCTGTGAGTTCGAGGCCAGTCTGGTCTACAAGAGCGAGTTCCAGGACAGCCTCCAAAGCTACAGAGAAACCCTGTCTCGAAAAACCAAACCAAACAAACAAAAATCAAAACAGGACATTTGATCTCTTGACACACATGTACATCAGTATTAACCCATAACCTTTCATTTCATGTTTGTTCCCAATGACTCATGGTAATGTCAATGTCATATTGAAAGCCAGGTGGTGTTGGCGCACACCTTTAATTCCAGCACTTGGGAAGCAGAGGCAGGTGGATCTCAGTGAGTTCAAGGCCAACCTGGTTTATAAAGTGAGTTCCAGGACTGTTAGACAGAAACCCTGTTTCAACAAACAAGCAAACAAACAAAAAAACCAAAAAATCATATTTAAAAATACAGTCCCAGTATTTATCCCGGGTATACAAATGGACTTTGGACTCCCATCCAACAATGTGAGATTCACTCTCACCCTGAACTCTTGGGGGAGGGTCTAGGCCCTGCCCTGGATGAAATGACAAACTATGGACACCCCCATGGAGGGCCTCACCCTCCCTGGGGAAATGAGGGGATATTGGGGGGGTTGGTGGGAAGGCACGGGAGGAGGGGAGGGAAAGGGAGAGGGACCTGGAACTGACTTGTGAAGCAACCTTGTTTCTAATTTAAATTTAAAATTACATACATACATACATACATACATGAATATACTTGAGGTCCAGGAGGATGACTCAGTGGATGAAGGCCTTGCCTTGCCACCAAGCTGATGGCCAAGCTCCACGCCAGGAACCCACATGATTACAGGAGAGAACTGACTTCTACAAGTTGTCCTCTGGCCTCCTCACATACACCGTGGCAACATGGGTTTACCTCCCACTACCCCCATACACACAAAATGAATACAAATAAATGGAGAACAATTAAACTAAAAACACAGTCCACATCTTTAGAAATTCAAACACTCAAAAGATTCAGTTTCTTGAAATATATCCAATGTCTCCCTAAAAGTCTAAAGTCCCTCAACCATTGACCCCAATAAAGCGAAAACCATAAGTTAAATATTTTCCTACTCCAAGAGGGAAAAAACAGGATACTGCTGATGATCAAGGGGAATCAAGCCCTGTGGCTCCGTGTCCCACACCTGGAAGTCACTCGTGACACCGAGCTCCAGACCCCACTCCCGGGTCCACGTCTCCAGCTCTCCACTCTGCAGCAGACAGAGCTTCCGTTCTAGACCAGGCTGGCTCCATCCACCCCTGCTGCTGTCCTCAATGGTTTCCCACAACCCTGGCATCTCCAACATGCTGAGGCCTCCTGTAGCCTGAGTTCTAATTGGTCTTCATAGTAAAAGCCCAGAGTCAGATATTAGGGGGTGACAGCTGAAAGATCAGAGGAGCAGACAGCAGACACTGGAGCTCTCAGGTCTATGAAATCCTCAGTCACAAAAGAGGCCAAGCTCCTGTCCCTTCCTGCCACATATTCCTCTCCCTGTCCAGCCATATCACTTCCTGTCTGTCTGTACAGACCTCCAGACATCTGTGGTTAGCTAGCAGCTAGCTCCACCCTCTGATCTTCAGGCAAGCTTTATTTGTTAGAGCACAAACAAGATATCACCACAGTCTCCTATGAAACTGAGGCTGCGCCTTCACCAATGGCCCCTCCTGGTCTCTCACAGCGCCAAGTCTCAGCTGCTCTCCTTCACCCCCTGATGCCTTCCAAACCAGTACTACCTGGGTGACGCTTACACATTACCAATCCTGCTGCCAGCGTGAGGTACAACCTTAGGCACCTTGGCACACAGCTCCTGTGTGCTGACTCTCAGGGAACACTTCCCAGAAGATTTCACCTCAGCGACACTGGCCTCTTCTAATCACAGCCAATTCTGTAGCCCCAGCTGAGCAGAACCAGGGGATCTTTGTTTTGGATTTTTTTCAGACAGGGTCTCTCTGTGTAGCCCTGGCTGTCCTGGAACTCACAGAGACCCACCTGCCTCTGCCTCCCCAGTGCCAGCATTAAAAGCATGTGCCACCATGCTCAGCCACAAATCACAGATTCCTAATGCAAAATGTCAAAGGAAGAGTCCTAGCAGTCATTGAGGGCCTCTCAAATTTTCCTCTGCAGTGCCACAAGCCAGGTCTCCATCGTCTGCTCTTCTCTCAACACTCCTGTCTTTTAAGCTCTCACAACAGCTTTCTGAGCTCTCAACACTCAATGACTTTCCCAGCCCAAAGTTCCAGACTCCTACAGTCCTCCACAAAATAACATGGTTCTGTCTGCCACAGCAATACCCCACTCCTGGTACCAAATTTATCTTAGTTAGAATTTCTACATGATGAAACACCATGACTAAGAGCAAGTTGGGGAAGAAAGGGTTTATTTCAGTTTACATGGAGTGGTCCAACATCCAGGAAGTCGGGGCAGGGTCCTGGAGGCAGGAGCTGATGCAGAGGCCATGGAGGGTGCTGCTCCCCATGGCTTGCTCAACTGCTTTCTTACAGAGCCCAGGACCACCAGCCCAGGGATGACCCCACCCACAATGGGCCGGGTCCTCCCCATCAATCACAAATTAAGAAAATGTTCTACAGGCTTAGGCTTACCTACAGCCTGATCTTTCTTTCTTTCTTCCTTCCTTTCTTTCTTTCTTCCTTCCTTTCTTTCTTTCTTTCTTCCTTCCTTTCTTCCTTCCTTCCTTTCTTTCTTCCTTTCTTTCCTTCCTCCCTTCTCTATTTCTTTCTTTGTTTTTTTGAGACAGGGTTTCTCTGTGTAGCTTTGGAGCCTCTCCTGGCACTCACTCTGTAGGCCAGGTTGGCCTTGAACTCACGCCTACAACTTGTTCTTATGGAAGCATTTTCTCACTGAGACCCCCCTTCCCAGATGACCCTCTCTTGTATCAATTTGGCTAATAAAACTAACAAGCATGAAGTCAGGGTCAGCATTGGTGCTGCTGGGTTTGGTGGTGGTCTGTCACTCAGGGAGGCAGCACAATGTGTTTTCTGATGCAATGCCAAACACACTTAGTCTTAACAATTTCTAGACGGGAGCTCTGCCTCTGGCCATGCCCCCAGCCCCTCACTGAGGGATTCTAGTCAAGGGCTCCATCCCTGAGCACGCCTCCAGCCTGGTTTCTTACCCTTTTTTTTTGTGAGACAGCATCAATAATCCTCCTGCCTCAACCTCCTGAGTAGCTGGAAGGACAGATGTGGACCAACAGCCCCTGCTGACACCATTGTTTATATGGGGCTTACACATCTATGGATTTTAGTATCCACTGTTGTCCAGAACTAATATCCTCCCCTGAGGGGGGGGGGTGAAGACAGAGGTAGGTTTAGAGAGAGAAGAACACTGTCTAAATGAATGCCTTTTAAAAGTATTTTCATTACATTTCATTTGTTTTATTCATTCAGTTAATGTGACTTGTGGTAGGCAGAGGATAACTTGTGGGTTCTCCCCCCTCCTTTCAGCATGTGGGCCCCAGAGAGTGAACTCAGGTCACCAGCTAGGTGGCAAGTGCCTTTACCCACAGTGTCCCCTCCCGACTCCCACAGCCGTCTGTCCAAGGATTCCTAACCACACATGGGTCTGAGAGGAGGAAGCTGGAATAGGTTCAGTTTGGTCTTTGTGAGGCTGTCGATGGATTGGCTGTGGTCCCCTCTCAGGACACACTTGAGGTTGACTTAAAATGCACTGACTGAAAAGGCACACAGACAGACAGACAGACACACACACACAGACAAACACACACACACAGACAGACACACACACAGAGACAAACACACACACATGTACAGATGCACACAAACATACACACACACACACACACACACACACACACGATGTGCAGAACCACATGCAGGCAAAGCAGTCACACACGAGTGTGAAGAAAAGCGTCTTTCAGGTCAGTCCTGGCAGCGAGGGCTCAGCAGAGTTTGAGGCTGCCAGCACCCGAGTCAGATCCAGGGACCTGTGATTTAAGAACAATGACCTGGGTGTTGGTGTAGGCTTCTAATCACTGACCTCCTTGTCTCTTCAAAGGGAAGCGTACTACCCAATAAACCACAACGCCGGCGCCCGGGATGACCTGCTGGTGTATTACCAGTACAAGGACCTGGGCTGCCCTCGCCTGGTCTACTACGACAAGCCATGGAAGCCTGTGGTGGAAGTGTAAGCCCCGTGCTGCCCCAGCGCCCTGCCCAGGCCATGTCCCCCTCCCAGGAGAGTCTCCCCCTCTTATCCCACTCTATCTGTCCCGAGTCAGCCCCAGCTACTGAGCCGAAAGCCAAGGAGGCATGGGCCCAGGTCTCGGTGTGAGAAAGGCCTAAGCTTGACTTGCAGATGTACACAGTGAGCCCTCTGACTCTTCTTCTTTTGGTCATATTATGCCAGCCTCTAACCCACTATGTAGCCCAGGCTGGGCTCAAACTTGCCATATTTCTGCCCCAGCCCTCCAAGTGCTGGCATCTCTTATGCCACTACGCCTGGATTACATTTTTCTTCTGATTCCTTCCATGCAGTCTATGGTTTCCCTTCATCCTTGTTTCTCCTGAGTCTGTCCTCACCCAGAGCAATGTCTGCCTTCCTATGAGTGATTGTGGGGTTTTGAAGGATGAGTAGGAGTTTGTCAGGCAGATATGATAATGAAGGCAGAGCCACATAGAAACTCACTGACACTGAGAGACAGGTGCAGTTGCACACACCTGTGATCCTAGCACTCAGGGTCACAGGCAGAAGGATTTCGAGTTTGAGGTTAGTCTGAGCTACACAGCAAGACTCTGTCTTAAAGAGGTTATCTTGAGGTGGGTGGTAGCAGTGCTCACCTTTAATCCCAGCACTTGGGGCAGAGGCAGGCAGATCTCTATGAGTTCAAGGGCAGCCTGGTCTACAGAGTGAGTTCCAGGACAGCCAGGGCTACACAGAGAAACCCTGTCTGGAAAAGACAAAAGAAAAACAAAGAGGGGAAAAGTCATGTGGAGGTTGAACTTATGCGGACTTTTCCCTAAACATGGGGATTTTGGCAGTGTGTATGGCTCCCTGGCAGAAACTTCTGGATCTAGAACTTCTGCGGTTCCCAGAAGCTGTCAGTAAATCCTGCTTGTCCTCTAGGTATCTGAGGCTTTGAGGACTGCCATCACTAGGGGATTTCTTTGGAACTCCATTCTGCTTTTGTCACTTAACTTTAAGGCCATGTCTTGTATAGCCTAGGCTGGCCACAAACTCTCCCCCAAGCGCTGAGACCACAGGCTGGACCGCCAGACTCTCTGCAGCCTTGAAGTTCTCTCTAGGCTGAAGCTTGGATGTTGTGCGCCTGCTCTTACACTGCGTCAGTCAGGGAGCAGTGACATCCCCGAGGCCTGTCCACTGGCTCCCCACACAGTCTAACCCCGCCTGTCAAGGTTGGCTCAATGTCTGTGTGTCCAGGCTGTTCCGACCCTCAGCTACTGGGGCAAATTCAATCGGGAACCGAGAAACTTGGTCCAGCATTCAGTTGTCCCGGCTGGTTCAACCCTCAGGCGTCAGGGTTGCTTCCATCCTTGGGAGCAGACCCTAAGATTCAGGGAGGTATCCATGGACATCATCCAGATCTATCGGGATAGGTAGCCTGCGGCCGTTGTATTTGCTGGGGCCAGTCGGTAGAGTGCTTGCTTGGTTTCATGAAGTCCCAGATCCCATTTCCAGCACCGGTAAACCAGGCACCATGGTGCACATCTGCCATCCCAGCAGTGTGGAGGTAGACACGGGGGGATAGGAGTTCAAGGCTAGCCTGGGCTACAGAAACAACAAACAAAACCCAAACACACAACACAGCAAGCTTCTCTCTACTCAAGGATCCTTGGCTCCCTTTCAGGGAGGGCTCTTGTACACAGTGACTGGGTCCCCTCCCTCTCTGCTTCTCCCCCATTCTGTTCCCCACCTTCCTTCAGGGTGACCCCAGCAGTGCCCCCCCGGCAGGGTGACCCCCAGCAGTGTCCCCCCATCAGGGTGACTGCCGGCAGTGTCCTCCCAGGGAGCCCTGCTGCCTCATCTTGTGTCTCAGGTGGAAGAATGGGATTCTAGAAGAAATCATGAATGCCGAGTATGTGATCACGGAGGTCAACGGGATAGTCACCTACTCGTACTCCCTGACGGCTGCCACTGCTAACTGCCGGTCACAGCCTCAGAACTGGAGTACCTTCCAGACAAATCTGGGCAATGTAGACCAAATGTCCATCTGGAACAGAGAGGTAGGTGGGATCCCACCCACGCTGTGCCGGTGTCTCCGGGCTGTCCCATCACTGCGGAACGGGAGGCTGGAGGACCCAAAACAAAGCAAGTTTGAGGCCAGCCTAGGCTATATCTTGGCAGGAGTCCCAGGAAGATCGGAAGGAGGAGGCTGGGGAGGAGGTTAGGAGGCCCAAGGTCCTACCTCCAGGGGTTTACGTAGGAGTGGAAGTGATGGCGTGGGCTGTGTGACAGGCAGAGGTTGAGGGTCAGGGTCATCCGGAATGGCACCCCTCTGTCCTTGACCCCAGAACTATGTCAGCTGCCACGAGGACAACAAGGACAACCCTCTGCTGTGGCCAGAGGCCGAGTATCAGATCTTAGGTGGCCGGACGGACAATAGGGTTATTTTTGGCCAAAGAAATGGGATCTACACCTTCCTTCTGTCTGTGGTGGATCCATACTACAGGTGAGTAGAGGGGACACTGCGGCTGGGGGACCTCAAGGAGAGGTGACACCAGGCATGTCTGTCACCCCAGCAGTGAGGGTCTGGCTGGACTGACTGACACAGGAGGCCCAAGAGTTCAAGACCATCCTCAGCTATATAACTAGTTCAAGGCTAGCCTGGGCTACCTGAGATCAGGGTCAAAACTCACACAACAACAGCCTGTAGGCTGCAGCCAGGTTAAGGGCAGGGATTCAGCCCAGTCTTCTCCCTTGCTTCCCCTTGACACTCTGGGCTGTCGGCTGAGACCGTTTGTCCTCCATGTGCCTGACTGCAAGGCTCTCCCATCATTCTCCTCTTGGCAGCAGCTGAAGTTCAGCTGGCCTGCTATCCCGTTTTCCTTTCAAACGCCGATGTGATTGTCCTTAGTCCAGCCCCCCAGCTCTCAAACCAAAGCAAGCAAGAAACCACGTCTTCGTACCCACATGCAAGAGAAAGTCGGCTGTGTGAATGGGGTAGGGATCCGGGCCAGCCTGTGCCTACTGTCTCCTGCAGCTACTGCAGCCTGGACACCATGTTCAGCGTGTACGTGTACGGGGCCCTACCCATGGCCATGTTCCCACCGGTGCTCAGTATCACGCTGCTTGTCATGACCGCGCTGCTGAGCACGTGGCTGGCCTATGCCATTCCCAAGGAGCTGAACACAGAGAGGGGCCAGCGCTTCAAGAACTCCTGCTCCTGGCTGTTCCAGAGCTGCTGGGGGGCCTGCAGCTGTGACTGGGTGTCGGGCGGACTGCAACGGCGGCTGCGCTCCAGGAGGGTGAGTGACCAGCCATCGAGAACCCCGAGTGGGCAGAGAGACCAGACGGACAGACTTTCAGAAGCGTCCAAACACACAGGGGCTTCAATGAAGGATCTCTGACCTCCATGTGTGTTACACGTTGGCTCTTGTCCCAGTAAATTGTTAACGATAAAGAGTGATCAGTTAGTGTCCATAGCAACCAGGTATTCCACCCCCGACCGCGACTACAGTCCTTCATTGGGGGATTCTCGGTGAGGCTCTACCCCTGGCCGCCTCTTCAGCCCCTCACTGGGAGATTCTAGGCAGGGGCTCCATCCCAGATCATATCCCCAGACCCTCATTGGGGGATTCTATACAAAGGGGCCTCCACTCGTCAGTGCTGAGTAACACTGCAGCCTGGGTTCAGGCATGAAGACCTAGGCATGAAGAAATGAACCATCCAGCCACCAGTTGGGTTTCACAGAAGTGGCTGACCCTGAATAGCTCCAGCCATCTTTATTTATAGATCAAATACACTAACAAACAAGTTTTTCCCATCCTCCAATGTTGACCCCCCCAGCAAAAAAAAAATATGTCAAATACGTTTTTTTTCTCCCAACACTTGCCATTTTGCTAGACTGGGCAAATATCAGGCCAGGCACGTCCTGTTTATACAAAACTAAAAGTTGATTGACATTGCACACATTTTCAAGAACAACAATCTCCGTCAAAACGTGTTTATGGAAATGGAAAGAGGGGTGATCTGCCTCCGATGCTGTCAGTACTGGATCAAATCAGCTCCTGAGGTCTCAAGTGACAGCTGGCAACCCCAGACAAGAAACCTGAGAAGCATCAGCTCCCAGAGGGGAAAATATTCCAGAAAAACATAGGGTTTCCAGGGATAATCACATCTGTCCAATGCATGATTGACAAAACAACACTGAAACTGCCAAGAGAATCATCAATAGTGAGAGAAAGAAGAGAGCGTGCAGGCCACACAGTCCCAGCTGGACTCTGCGTTGTCCCGAAGTCCCCTGGTCCTTGCCGAAAGAGACTGTCCTTGTGGAGATCCGTTGGACAGGCAGTCATATACCAGTCCGAAACTAAGCTGCAAGGCTTCTAACCCCTCACCAGGCCTCCAGCCCCTCACTGGGGGATTCTAGGCATGGTTCCACCCCTGACCACACCCACAATCCCTCACTGGGGGATTCTAGGCTGGGCTCTAGCCCTAACCATGCCCCCAGCTCCTCACTATGGGATTCTAGGCAGGGGCTCCACATCCAACCAGTCTCCAGCCCCTCACTGGGGGATTCTAGGCAGGGGCTCCACCCTTTTCTTTGAGCTGCCAACCAGTTCCCAAATAAAGATACAGAGACTTATTAACTTTGAATGCTCAGCCTTAGCTTAGGCTTGTCCCACTATCTCTTTTTTTTTCTTTTTCTTTTCGAGGCAGGGTTTCTCTGTGGCTTTGGAGGCTGTCCTGGAACTCGCTTGGTAGTCCACGCTGGTCTCAAACTCACAGAGATCCGCCTGCCTCTGCCTCCCGAGTGCTAGGATTAAAGGCGTGTGCCACCAACACCCGGCGGTCCCACTATCTCTTAATCTAACCTGTTTCTCTTCATCTACGTCTTGCCTTAGGGCTTTTTACCTTTCTTTCATTCTGTGTGTCCTACTCTCCCGCTTCCTCCGTGTCTGTCTGTCTGATCCCTGGCACCTCCCTGGCATCTCTTTTCTTTCTTCCCCTGAGCCTAAATTCCTCCTCCTCCTTACTCCCTTCCTGGAAGTACCACCTATGCCTCCTCCCTTGCTACTGGATATTCAGCTTTTTATTAGGTCAATTAGGTGCCTTAGGCAGGCAAAATGACACAGCAAACACATCTTTACATAATTAAATAAATGCAACACATCTTTACATAGTTAAACAAATATTCTGCAACACCTGACCACGCCCCTAGCCCCTCCCTGGAGGATTCTAGGCTGGGCTCCACCTCTGAACCATGTCCCCCCAACCATATCTTCAGTTGTTCTGGCTCCTTTTTGTCTTTTCCATACTTTCCCTGTGTCATGAGGCGGAGGGGAGTAAGTCAGAAGGAAGCCATCATGGCCTGACTTCTAACTAACCAGTGTCCCCATAAGTCAGGAGAAGTGAGTGTTGGGGTGTCCATCCTGAACCTCCTATGTGGGCGAGGCCTCTGCGTGCAAGCATGAGGACGTGAGTTCACATTTTCAGAACCCACACGGAGCAGCACTGGGGAGTCAGCGGGAGGCCCTGAAAAGAGGTAAAGGCAAGGGCTGTGTGATTTCCAGGTCTGCAGTTCGGTCCCCAAAACAGCTTAATGGCGGATCTGTGGGACGGATGTGCTGGGTCTGCGCCGCAGGGATGCAGGGGTTCCCTTGGGCAAAGTGAGGAAGACACCGGATGCGCTGCATTGACAGGCATGCACATGTACATGCACGCGCACGCACACATTTAAGAACATGCACGCGCAGGCGCTGACATCGCAGGTCTCTGCTGCCCTCCAGTGGTCCACAGGTGCAAACCTCTTCCCAGGACTTGTGCAGGCTTGGATTTGGAATTGAGAGGACCCGCGGATTCCGTCCACGCACCCAGTGCGGGAGAAGGTGTGGCAGGAGGATCACCAGTTTGTACCAGCCCGGGCTAGAGAGTGAAACCCTGTGTGAGAAACGCAAACAACCAGTGGGTTACAGTAATAATCACCAGGCAGGACTTGTGCGCTGGGAGAACGGAGCCATCTTCCGCTAAATGGGGAGTACGAGGCCAGCCTGAACTACATGTGTCCCTGGCTCAAAGACTTAATTAGTAGTGATAATCATAATAATGACGGTAATAATAACAACAAGAAAACTTTCCTGCAAAGGAAAGGTGTGTCTCTGTCCCCAGTAGGAATTAGCTTCGCACGGTACATACCGCCCCTGAAGATGAGCTGTATTGATTGACACACACATGTGACACTCAAGACAAATGAACCCCATTTCTGGATGAGAAGAGGGCCAACGAATTTGGGCCATTTCTTCTTCTTTTTCCTTTCCCTTCCTTCCTCTTCTTTCTTTTTTTCTTTTTTTGAGATATGGTCTCATGTAGCCCAGGTTGGCCTCAGGCTCACTGTGTAGCTGAGGATGACCTTGAACTCCTGATTTCCTGCCTGCACCTCCCTGGTGTTGGGGTGACAGGCATGCACCGCCAGGCCTGGTTTATGGGATGCGGCCGATGGAACCCTGGGTTCTGTGCACTCTGTGTGAGAGCTTCGCCTGCTGAGCCACAGCCCATATTTCACAACCCTGAAAACCACCGACACCTAGAATTTTCTCCTGGAATACTGGCAGAGGGGAACTGAGAGTCTGCAGTAGACCACCAGTCTCCCACTGTAGAGTCAACCACACAACGCGATGGTTAGGAGAAGAATGGCCCCAAAGTGAGCGGCGCTATTAGGAGGTGTGGCCTTATTGGAGAAAGTGTGTCACCATGGAAGCGAGCTTTGAGGTCTCATGCTCAAGCCATTTTTTGTTATTGTTATTGTTTTTTGGTTTTTCGAGACAGGGTTTCTCTGTGTAGTTTTAAAGCCTTTTCTGGAACTCGCTCTGTAGACCAGGCTGGCCTTGAACTTGTCCCGACCCGCAGGACACTCAACGTGGGTCTGGTGGACACCTAGGAAAAAGATGGGGGGCAGGGGACACAAGGACGGACGCCAAGACAAGAGTCTGGTCAAGGCGACAACTTTATTCATCCCAAAGGGATTTATATAGGGGAAGGGAGGAAGGAATGGGGGTGTGCTGCAGCTGCGATGAACCTGGCGGAGAGAAGGTCAGTGGAGTAGGTAGGGCATCCTGTGTCCTGGTAACCTAACTGCAGACTCTAACTGTATCTTTCACATCCCACCTTCTATTGTTTAAGCCTACGCCCTAGATGAGCCGCAGGCCTGTTTCTGGAATTTGGCAGGTAGCAGAGTGGTCCAGAGTCATGTACTTTCTGCAGCCATTTCTGGTTGATGGCCGGAGGACCCAGGCATGAACTCACAGAGATCCGCCTGCCTCTGCCTCCCGAGTGCTGGGATTAAAGGCGTGCACCACCAACGCCCGGCTGGCCTTGCTTGTTTCTTACTGGCTATCTCTGACTTAAGTTTTTACCCCATAACTGCTAATCTAAGTATTTCTCTTACCGGAGAAAAGGGTCCAGACTTCTTACCCCATGGCGGGGCGGCTACATCTTGACTCCCTGTGTTTCTCCTCCCCAGAGTCCTCCTCGACTCCTAGTCCCACCTATCTTGCTTCCCTATTGGCCAACAGTGCTTTATTGACATATACACAGGACTTCCCCATCACATAGCTCCTGATTCTCTGAGTGTCCTCAAAAAGCCACTACTAGGCTCTACCCAGCAGGTAGTCACTGAACATGGTGTGACACGGCTTCAGCTGCACAGAGATTTGCTGACAGAACCACAGGGATGACAGAACCCAACGTTGTTAGGTTTCAGGTCTCACCTACCCTTGGTATTGTGTGGCTGGAGGGAGGTGGTACCCTCCATACACTGGCCATGCCCTGCTACTTCTTCTTCCTGTGGAGGAGGCAAAGGCCAGCTAGTATTCAAACAGTTATCTGCATTGTTTGTATTACATATGAGTGCGTGCATACGTGTGTGTGTGTGTGTGTGTGTGTGTGCCCACATAAACACAGTTCCTGTGGAGACTATAAGGGGGCATTACAACCCCAGGAGTGGGAGTTAACTGACAGTTATGAGCTGCCTGATGTGGGTGCTGGGAATGGAACTCAGGTCCTCTGTGAGAGCAGCCAGTGCTCTTAGTCCCTGACGGGTCTTGCAGCCCCTTTACCTAGAACTTAATAGCCTGTTTCCTTGAGTAGTTTCACTAAGGTCTTTGTTATGCCTTGGGGCCTTATTGCTTTATTTTTTGTTTGAAACAGAGTTTCAGTATATACCCCTAGCTGGCCTGGAATTCACTTTGTGGACCAGGCTGGACTCAAACTCATAGAGATCCACCTGCCTCTGCCTCCCCAGTGCTGGGACTAAGTCATGTGTGTGCCAGCTGTGATGTCAAGTGCAAGGCTCACACAACAGCCAGGAAAGCATCATATGGATGGAAGTTTACAGGGTCAGAGACGGGGCAGAAGGTGGGGAAACCCCGTCAGGGCTGCTTGGACAGGCCGGATGTGAGAGGC